CCAGGCCGGCTGGAGGTTCAAGTTGAGATTAGCCTTCCTGATGAAAATGGTCGCCTTCAGATTCTTCAAATTCATACAAACAAAATGAAGGAGACCTCCTTTCTTGCTCCTGATGTGAACCTTATGGAGCTTGGTATGCTTTCCTAATGTCTACTTATTAGTACTAATTATCCAACTTCATTATGCTTGCATGAAATATGTGCTTTGTTATATATCAAACTTTTTTATGCTTGCTAAATAAAGGCTTTATTAACTAATCCTTGATGAAATCTTATGTCATGGCATTGCTCTGTGAAGTGTCTTCAAATAATGGCAGAAAACCTGCATGTCATGGCAAGTCATTCACAATATGACTATATTTGCTTTATATATGCCAGCCGCTCGCACAAAGAATTACAGTGGTGCAGAACTCGAAGGTGTCGTAAAGAGTGCTGTGTCATTTGCCTTGAACAGACAATTAAGTCTGGATGACCTCACCAAGACAGTTGATGAAGAGAGTATCAAAGTCACAATGGACGATTTCTTGCAAGCACTCCATGACATTGTTCCTGCATTTGGAGCTTCCACGGATGATCTTGAGCGGTGCAGGTAATATATGAAAACAAAAAGAGTCGATAATCTATTATCTAATAAAATCTTAGTCTGCTGGCCTTTGGACTCTTCTCATTTTACATCTGTTTTTAACTTCCAAAGGCTCAATGGAATGGTGGACTGTGGCAAACGCCACCAGCATATCTATCAAAGGGCTATGCTGTTGGTGGAGCAAGTCAAAGTCAGCAAAGGAAGCCCGCTTGTTACCTGTCTTCTGGAAGGCCCAAGTGGCAGGTAAGCAGCTCATGCTCATCTATATTCTTGGTTCTAAAATTATGTTACGTTTTTAAAATTGCAACTTCTCTGACATTGTTGATTTGTCTTCTTCAGTGGTAAAACTGCATTGGCAGCAACTGTTGGCATTGATAGCGATTTCCCTTATGTTAAAATAGTAAGTCCTTCAATCAGCAATGACTTCAACCTCTAGTCATCTTAATTCTTAAAGAAGCTTCTAATAATTTTCTCTATTCTCGTAGGTCTCAGCTGAAACAATGACCGGCCTACATGAAAGCACCAAGTGTGCGCACATTGTCAAGGTTCGTCCAAGTTCTTTCGTTCTATACATTACCCTTCTCCTACCCTCTGAAAATATAGCTCTTTACATCACCTGGGCTTATATTCAATAATTGAGAAAACTGTGGCCATGATCAGTCTGATTAACACTTTTGCTATTTCTGTTTCGTGCCGGAGTTATGTTCTCCATAAAATACTTAGAGAGTCTTTGGTAAGTATGTAGCTCACTGTCTGTTTCCTTTTTCCTTACAGGTCTTTGAAGATGCTTACAAATCACCACTGAGCATCATAGTCCTTGATGACATCGAGAGGTAATCATGCTGCTGAATAATAAACTCGAGTAACGTTTGGTCACTGAGTCTCAAGTTCTCTTTATTAATGATCGAAACTGACACTTACAAATGATATTTGCAGATTGCTGGAGTATGTAGCTATTGGTCCTCGTTTCTCAAACATTATTTGTCAGACTCTACTAGTCTTGCTCAAACGTCTTCCTCCCAAGGTGAGTTTTTCATCCCCACATCGAATTGCTAACATCTAGCCATATGAAAGCCATTGAGTTACTTCTCTGATCTTCTCTAATCAGGGAAAGAAACTCCTCGTATTTGGGACGACCAGCGAAGTCGAATTCTTGGACTCAATCGGCTTCTGCAATGCATTCTCCATCACTCACCACATCCCGAATCTCAAGACAGACGACGCCAAGAAGGTGCTGCAACAACTCAACGTATTCGCCCCACAAGACATCGATGCAGCGGCAGAAGCAGTAAACGACGTACGACCCCAACAAACTGCTTGTCACCATATCTCACTTCAACACCCTCTTCTTTTGCTTTGTTGGATGCTGACTTGCTGTTCTTTTCTGCAAACCAGATGCCGATCAAGAAGCTGTACATGTTGATCGAGATGGCAGTACAAGGGGAGCACGGTGGATCGTCGGAAGCTATCTACTCGGGTAAAGAGAAGATCAAGTTCGATCACTTCGTCGATTGCCTCCAAGACGTTGTTCGATACTGAAGTGAGGACCATGCTCTGACATTGTATACTTTGTGGCTGTTATTTACCAAAATGCTGCTTGGGGTTCTCTTCTAAATCTTGTCTTCCCACTCCGTTGCAATTTTGCAATTTGTTAGGTGCCTTGGGCTTGTGGTGTGCCCCTTTCTATAGGCTTTGTGAGGCTTTTTGTGAGGAAACCAGAAAACATTTAACCCGAGTTTATCGAACCATTGAGATTATTAGTAAGGAATCTGTAACATCCCGAACCTTTTTCCGATAAGATACCGTCCGCTTTGGGCCTCTACATCTGCACGATTTTCGGCTTGGCGTGCAATTCAATGTGACTTCCCATAAGGTCACCCATCCTTGTTGTACTCCACACTGAGCACATTTAACTACGGAGTTCTTACAAGAACTCGTCTATTTCACCCCAAAACGCGTCTCTTCAGTTAAGGTCGGTTTCCTACTTATGAACTATGGATCTCTTCCGTGCTTTGTCGATGTGAGATTTGCCTAAGGTGTTACAGAATCACTGATACCCAAAAAAAAAATCACGATCGAAATGAGTGGTATCTAACTGGTTCAGTTTTTGACCATTTTAAAGGGTTCATGTGTTAAGTGTTATCTTTTTTCGGCCATTTCCAATAATGAGTGAACTGAAAATGACACTACTATGAAATTCTCTAAAATTCCATGTTTTACACATTGCTACAATGGGATGTGCACAAGCCAAAGGAAGTAATCTTACTTTTCTCTTAAAATGTCTATAATGATCTTACCAAAAAAAATGTCTATAAAGATAAAAGGGATAGATGAAAGAGAACTTTTTTCTTTTCCCCTTCTTATTCGAAAATAATTCATCACCATTTACAAAGAACTAATCTTACTTTTCTCTTCAAGCCATCATATGGGTGTTCCCGGAAGTACAATGAGATCCTAGTGGTGGGCCTTCGCCAAGCGAAGTAAGTTCAAGCAAGTGAACCCCTAAATTTTGTAGACAATACTGTCACAAAATAACACGTGAGATTGAGGTTCGTGAGTTATTAAAAAAAACTTTACTTGAGAAAGAAAACCCAGGAGAGGGCCAACAAGGAATCGCCAACTGTCCGCCGGAGACAATCCCAGGCCAGACCTTCCACCCTCGTCTCGAAGCAAACCTCCACACCAGCGACGGCGGCTTTGGACGACGAAAGAAAGAAACGTTTCAATTTCCCCCGATTTCGATTTCCACTCTCCCTCCTTTTTCTGGGTTTCGCGGGAAGATGCCGATCGGAGATTTCGGGAGGGACGGATTATTGTTGGGTTGGTAAGAGCTGGTAATGGGTGTGGACTGTGGAGGAAGAATTGAAAACGGTGCGAGTGAGTCGAGTTCAGCTGACCGAGTTAGAGAAGGAGGTCGACTCGATGGATTCCATATAGTATGGAAATCGTACCGTATGAAAAGGTAACACGTGTCATGGACTAATGATTTGGTCGGTCACATGCAAAAATAAGATAAAATAAAATAATGCCCTTAACAGTCAAATTCATTAAGGACATTCATTCCCCCAACTATGGCTCATGGCCAAGGTTGTCAACCCGCGGGTTGACCCACGGGTCGACCCAATTTGACCCCGACCTGGTGAGAAATATGGGCCGCACGCACCTGTCGGGCTGACCGCTATAAGGTACAGAGTTGGAGGTCAAATTGTGTCATTTTTTTCTTTAGTTTACGAAATACGCCTATTTTCCAATTTTTCTTTTCGCCTAACTCAATCTTTGGAATACTAAGTTGAACATTTGAATATTTATGTTATATAAGTGTGTGTGAATTTTCACTATATGTTGGATCTAAGTACGATATGTTATTTTGGTGTAATATTATATGTTATAACTCATATGTTAGATAAGATTTGATATAATTTATGATGATAAGTACAATATAATGACTCTTTCTATATTTCCGGGCCAAACCGAGCTAAAACGGTTGACCCATTAACCCTTGACTCACTAGCTCGACCGGGTCCGGGTCAACCCGCGGGTTGACAACCTGCTCATGGCTCATAGTTTTTTGTGATTCTACAACTTGGCCCTCGTAGTGTTCAACCACTCACGTTTTGGTCCCTTGGCTTTCCCTCTATCAATTTGTAAGACATTGTTTAGAATCTTAAATCCATTTTAGGATAGGGATTTGTAAGGCTGAAATATGGTATTTAATCACTTCCTTACACGTCCCTTCAAACGAAAGGCAAATTATGGGCTTGAAGTTTGAACATGCTCCCTTATATCATGTGCTTTGAGACAACGGTTAATATTGGGGGTCGTGAGGAAGGACTTGAACACGTGACCTCAAGGACTATCCAAATTTTGATATCATGTCACAAACCAACTGGTACCAATAACTCGAATTATTGAGAGAAGCTCGTGTATGATACTTAACCACTTCCTTACAGATCTAGACACCCTAGATTTACCTACTCAATCCACTTGACAATTTTCTAGCTTGGAATAAAAGATGCATTGGTTCACTTCGAGACACTTAATAAATCTTTTTGATAAAAAGTATGCAAGCATAAAAAATTTCAGACCACAATGAAGACGCTCCCATAAAATAACTTGATTAAATTCAAGAAATTAAAAAATAAAGTTGGTACGGTGATGAGTTTCTGTACCACTATCATACTTTTTAGCTTCCAATACAACCGTTGATGAATAGACAAAAGGAACCAAACCTGTGTCGTACATTTACATGATATTTGTTAACCATAGGCTCATAAACCACAGGAGAAGGACGAGTTAAGAAAATGACAATCACGATGAATTTCTGTAAAGCACACTCACTGATTCACTAAGAGTTCTAAATTCTGAGATTGTCGAACAATGTGGAATGGAACTAAACCAATAAATCAATCTAACGAGAATGTGTTTTGAGAGAAAGTATAGATAGATCTTTTATTGCCAAATCAAGAAACTGAGCTTGGAAATACACATTCTTTTGATATCATAAAACTGTAACAACAAAAAAGGGTCACCACCATTTCTTGCAGGACTGCAACCCATGATAATTTATTGGACCCTTGAGAACATGTTGTTTCTATATACAACAACAAAATTGAATATTGATAAATTGAGATTTTTTTTGTGAGGGTGTTGTAAAAAGTAAGTAAAGGGTAGTGGTGAGGGAAAAATAACTTTGAAGGAGGTTCTCTGTGGTAGAAGAACTACAACACTCATCTTCTCTTTAGGCACAAATGGTGATCTCTCATCCCCCTCAATGAAACCTGACTCTTGATCATTTTGCAAAGAGGGGAAAAGAAGATCAAAGAATGATACTTTCTCTTTTCCAGAACAAAAATGCCTTCCATCAATCATCACCTTGGTTCTCCCTGCCGGCCACCGGCAATAACTTTCCGGTGCCGCCTTGGTCCGACCCTTCTGCCACGCCTCACTATTCCTCGTCTCATCGGAGTTTCCTGAGGTACTCTGGGGGGCGGCAGTATTTCCGGGAGTGCAGGTGGAAGAGGCAATGGAGGAGGTGGAGACATGTGCTCCATTTTCTCAAGAACTTCTCTATGGTATTTCTGCACCATAGGCCAACGCAAAGATGATATTATAGATGGAGAAAAGCAAAATATTTTCCATGATCAAGGTTTCTTGAGGGGCAAGGGAGCTAAAGTTAGAGATATGCGACTCTTACCTGAACGACAAAGTTCCTTCTTTCGCAATCCAAGAACATGTTCACTGTCCAATTCGTCTTTGCCCTGATCTTATCCCTCACTATAGCGAAGCTGATCTGGTCCCTTGAAGTAAAGCGGTCAACTTCGTTGTACCACAGACAAGCAAAGAGGTTGCTTATAGGAACATGCTCCCTAATTACGACGCATCCTTCAGGAACATCTGCAGAATGAGATAATCGACAGAGAGAACTTAGCATTAAAGAACCAGAAGGTATCCAAGAATACACAAGGAAAAGGTATCTCGAACCCTACCAGATGTGATAGGAAGCTTATCCAAAGTATAAGGGGATAAGCCTTCGCTTTTGTAGAAATCAATCTGGAAATCTATGGACGCATTATCATACTTCCCAGCAGCTTTGTTTGCCTCGGCTTCAGTGAAGACATCAAAGCGTTTGTAATGTCGAGAGATAGCAAAAGTGGCATTTTTTCTCCACAGATGCCTGAAAGAGTAATTGAAGGCACGAAAAAAGACAAACGAAAAAAAGGACGGTGAGTAAATTGAGGTCGGCCCAAACTCATTCTAAATCACAGACCAAATTGAGGAACGAGGCAATTCCAAAGGTTTTCATGAAAACCCGAATGGAGATAACAGCAGAATCCAGGGAATCATTCAAGAAGCCATCTAGAATCACTCATCGTTATGGGCTTACTGACTATAATCCTGTCAGCTATTGTTTTATCATATGCCAACCGAGAATGCCACACAGATCGTGGGAGGAACAACCGGAATAGGGAGTACCTTTCAAGAATTTGATATGGATCAACAACCAGCTCAAGCTTCCCATCAATCCATATAGAGAAGCGAGCATTTGGAAACAGCCTATGGGGCAGCAGCTTGGGAATCTGCAATTGATAAAACCTATGTCAAGAGATTTATAGAGAAGGTTCATGAGATGTAAGCAAATGCTGTTCTTTGATGTACAAGGAGAATTTGGCATTTCATTCCACAATCACATCAGTCTCCCGTAGAAAGAATGACGATAAGGAATACAATAAGAGCAACAGTAAGGTAAATGTGATCTGCAAATCTAAAGTTGAGATATGAATCCAAGAATCATGAAAGAAAGCCATAACTAAAGTCAACATATGAATCACCTTTCCAGTTCGTCTCCCATCAGTGTATGGAGGGTTATGGATCAGAACAATTCTCCATACCCCAACCTTCCTGCTATCACCTAATTGCCCACTATTTTGCAGATAGGCTTCTGTTTCATCGTCCACAAACATAAAGAAGCATACAGTTCTTTTGGAATACTCACTGATGTTGCTTGGCTGTTGTATATTATCAAAGGCCGCTGCAATGAGAAAAGTTTTTAAGTAAAGCAATTTGAACAATGAGAGGGAATGGACTGAGTGGCATTTCATTCTGATTTCTAAATGACCATACCAAATATTGCTGAGGAAACAACCACACCCCTGCACTGGTCCATTGCATCTAGATCAACCTCATCAATATCGTATCCAGTATTCCGGCCAGCCCTCGTACCTCTAACAAACCTAAATCAATGCAGATATACAAGGAGATATCACAAACGGCAGAATGTGCAACTTGCACAATCATTGGAACAGCTTCTACCACTTCACATGGTGATGGGTGGAATGAGATTAGAGAAAAAAACGGAAATCAGCTTACCCACAGTGCACACTCATTGATTCTCTAATATCATAGGAGTCAGTTCTCTGAGCGACTGTAGGATATCCACCAAAGTCTGAGCCTCCAAATTCCCCATTCTTGGTCAGTGGATTTTCATAGATGTATGTCAAATCCTTTAGGACAGGAGAATAGGAGGGAAGCTTTGGCATCAAGGCAATGGCTTCCTCCACAGGCAGGTAACATACCGGACATGCTGATATGCAAGAACAGTAAATATTAGCTTTATGGAAATGCACCATCATAATACCTAAACAAAAAAACCTCTCAACAACAATAACATCTCTGGCTCTTTTTGAAATCACACCATAGCCCGCTCCCTAAGAAATCTACTGTTGCTCTGTTAGTCGTTCCAAAAGTGCAGCATACTAGAAGAATTTACTAGCCAGTCCCAATGGAAAAAAAGAAAATAGCAAAACAAATATGAAGGCAGAAGCATCTTTTAGGGGTAGAAACTTACGTCTTGGTCCAGTTCTTTTCCTGTCTGCTGGAGGAGGAGGCAGAGTGAAAGTATTGCATGGATGCCCAGGAGGTAGAGAGTAGCCCAAAAAATGTGAAGGAGGGGGAGGTGGGAAAACCAAAGTCGTTGTGTTCTGTTTGCGGACAGTGGCACTTATGTTCGGACTGATACTCATGTTTGGGACCTGGTCACTTTCCTGTGCATCTTCACCTGAAAAACATGCCATAATTTTACTGGAAATGTGAATAAAGCTACAGCAAGAGCACAATTCTGTCAGCTAACTACGATACAAGCTGTTCAAGACCCATCACTGATAAATATCCTCCACGCCAGTTTTAAACAACCTCCTGACGAGACAAGTGCAACTACCATGAAACGAACTATATCTCATGAATATTATCACAATCTGAATCCACCAACAATCTAAATTGAGCAACATTTCCAAAAAAAAACTATCTAATAGAGAATCTCTTTTCAACCCCTAGATAACAGCATTGTTCAAATACTAAGGCAAAAGCTCTAGAGAGTCCATGTTCAAAACACAAATCACTCAAACAAGCAAAAAGGGGGATGAATGATCAAATGAATGGAGTGGATGGAGAGAGTATAACAAACCTTTTCCTACATACAAAACCCAGATAAAAACTGCGGCAGAGATTACGCAGAGCAACAGCATTCCAACCTTCCTCCGGCCGACGGACTTGCGGATCCAATGTAAGAATCTATCCTTCTCCTTGAACATCTTAGCAGGCTTAGTCCGAATTGTCGATTGAATTGGCAAGAGATGATTGCTACCACCGTTCTGTTGTTGTTGTAGTTGCTGCGGTTTGTCCAATGAACCATAACTCCCTGAGCGGATCCCCAATGAACCTCCGTTCATTGTCTCTCCTCCTTAAACCCCACGCCCCAATAGCTTAATCCCCCTCTCATCTCATCTCCCTTTCTCTTCCCCTCAAATCAAGAAACCCCAAATCTGTATATTACCCAATGATCTTCAAACTTCGAACCCAGAACGAGAGGAAGACACTCGAATTCCCGCAAATTCAGATGAGACCCACTTCAGGAAAATTGGCCCCTTAACTTCTGGGCCAACTTTTTTTTGAATTGCCACTCTGAATCGAAGCTCAGTGACACACACCCAAGATTGATTTCCCACTCGCCGGACGAAGTAAAGCAAAACCCAGAAACAATTCAGTCCCCAGAGAACAACCCAAGTGCGCCGAATCAGAGACGAGAAAGGATTCACAGTGATGTGATTATGAAAGTAATGAAACCAACTAACTGCCAGATCAAAGCTTGAATAGTTGAATGTGCTGAGAAGAGAAAGGACGATTCCCACAAGGAAAAAAAATAAAAGAAAAACTTAATGATGCCGAAACCGAGAAATATGGGGGAAAATAGGGGGAGGAAAGGAAAAGGATGGTGGGATCCTAATTGGATTCTGAATAAAATAAATCTAGGGTTTGTAATTGGAGGATGGATGGGATTGGGGTTTTATTTCTTTCTATTCTTTTTGTTTTGTTCTTGAGAGAAGCTGTATATCTAAAATGGTGGTCTGTGGAATCAAGGAGTGTGTTTTTACTTTTTTTTAAAAAAAAAATAATCCAAACTGGGATTTGTGTGTTTTTTGTGGTAATTTCTGTCTGCAAAAGTTGAGGGAACCGGCCCCGAATTTATATGAGCTGAAAATACATCATTATTTTATTTTTATAAGACATTATTATTGATTAGTTACTATCATAAATAAATGTGATTGTGAAATATTGGATAGACGGCGATTGCTTGGCATTGCCAATGCGGAAATATTTGTCAAAAAAATTTATTAAAATTTGATAAAGCTGTTTATTTGGTATTTATTAATAAAATGCTTGAGAGGAAATATTTGATTGCCCACCACCACCATACTTTCCCTTTTTGTTTCTTTGTTTATGTAATGATAATGGAATTAATTACACTCATCTTGCAAAAAATGTAAATATCTATGATTTACTTAAAATTGTAACATTTCATAAAAATAATTTAAACAATTTCACTTAAACCTACTCATATGGTTAGCTAAATGTTGAGATTATCCATAACAAAAATGTTGAGATTAATCTCGACCAATAACAAAGTGGGTAAGCATTGATTATAATACTCCTCAAAGTACAAAGTATTGATCGAATGACGAATATGTTACCTCTACACTACCAATAAGTAAATATGACCAGTGGCGGAGCTAGAAATCTAAACGTGGGGGCTAAAAATTTATGCCCAGAGAATTCGAACTGACGAGAGGGGACTAAAGTCTTACAAATTACTACAATTCTCATATTTTATACCAAAATTACATTTAATTTTACGTGATTTTGCAAGTTGAGGATGGCTATAGCCTCCCCTGAATTTAAGGTGGCTCCGCAGCTGAATATGACGTGTTATCCCATTATTACATTATTACGAAATCTAATCAATTACTTTTACCACGAGCAATATGTTGTTGTTTGTCACAAAATCAATCAATTTTTTTTTTCTTTTTTCTGGGGTTTGCATTTTCTTCATGCATCTATATATATGAATATGACAACGAGGGCCATCAATTGAACAATAAATTATAAATGTTCGTGAAACGAATGGGTGAAAGGTCACCAATCAGTTCATATATGTACCTTTTGGTCCTTTTAGTGCTGCCTTAACTTCATTGGCCGACGACGTGTACCAATAAGAATTTATAGGACAGTAACCCCACATTGAAGGATTGAGCTGGAGAAGTTGTTGACATGTTTGAGCTTTCTACTTCCTCATTATAAAAAAAAAAAATATTAATATATTGAGGCATCCATTAAAAAAATTTAATTATATTTCGAGCCAAAGATGAAATAACTCGTACATATATATGATTTGATGTCTAATCTTAGTAGTGGATGTAGTATTACTCGGTCATTTAACGAAAATTGATGAATCTCATGAGTAAATTCACTTGATAAACGATTGTTTGAGAATGTTAATTTTGATTTTATTTTTTATTTTTATAAGTAATAATGTATTGCCAACGAATGAGAATGTTCCGTTCATGATCTACACATTTGGTCTTACAAAATCGCGTAAATCATATATACCACATAAGTTTAGCTACTAGTACAATGACATGTAGCTCGAGGAATCCATATATGAAATAAAGGAAATCCACAAATCCCAATTATTGGGTGAGAATGTCTAGTTGTCTACTAATTTGTATACTAGCTGTAGCTGGGCTGCTATGTGTATCACCACTAACTCGACACAAATAAAGTCTCAAAATTTGATTAATTAACTTCGAATTGGCAGGCAGCTTTCAAGCACTAATCATTACTTGCCATCTTAATCCTAACTCTGTGTTTTTTATATAAGGGTGATATATGTTTACTTTTTGTGTTTTTTTACTATTTAAAATACTCGAATTTGTGATCTCCAGGTTTAAGACTAGTTGTATTATCATTAGACCAAACTGTTGTTCGGCACATTTCAGACCTCTGTTACGAGACAAGAATTTGGTTTAAATCAGATCAAGCCAATCCCGCAACTCTACCCACCGTCACGACCCGATCATCGTCATTCATCGTCCATTACATTGATTTGATTGTATTGATTATTAAGTTAGATCCAATGCCGCAACAACCTCCTCTAATTTACTCATAACGTGAAATAAGAGTAGTGGCTTAAGCGAGAGAGAAAAAAACCTCGGATTCATGAAACAACCGCTATGTGATGCTTCATCTTTTGGTCAGATTTGGTGTTTGGTTGAGTTTCGCGTCATGTCGTTCGTCTGTTCGTTTTGTGTTAGTTTGAGTAGCACTTGTTGAGATGCTTAATTTTAGATGGAAATAAATGAATTAATATTGAAAAAAGTATGACGATTTCATGGTTACTTACTACTGACATAGATCACCATTTGATAAAAAAAAAATGAGAAGTACGTTGACCATTTGGTCACTCTTCCCAAATGTAAGTGACCATTAATGTAATTAACCCAAGAATTATATCAAACCCAATTTACTGCCCAATCCATTTGGGCTCATTTCAAGTCCATGGGCCGAATTTCATTGGACCGGCCATGCGCTTGGGATTTAATATAGGAAGAAAATAAGAAATGCATTGAGTGTCGTTTTGGGCTTAATTCGATTCATGATGATGCTCGTTTAGGGGAAGGCTTTCAATTCTCTGGTCGCAGTTGTTAGGTTTTGGCCTTTGGGCTAATTTGAGTGATGCTGGTAAATGTTAATGAAGTTGCCTATTTTTGGCATGGTTTGTGCCTTTGTGGTATAGTTTCAGTTCGTCTTAGTCTTATACATTACACAGTAATATAGGGGAAACTTTTTTTGGTAGAGAAGTAATATAGAAAAAATATTAGTGTTAGCCCATATGTTTTTGTTAAATTGTCTATCTATGGTTATTATCCGTTGATTTTGGGATCTTAACATATCAGTGAATTATAGAATGAATCTATTTATTTCGTATGATAAACTATTAACATTGACAAAATTTCAGGTCGATAACGTCTCTGTTGAAAACAAAGTGTGTGTGATAACTGCGCTGCTACGCATCGGAAAATCGTCGGAATCGACAAAGTAAGAAAAACGAAAACAGAATGCACACAACACACGAGCCCGTTTCACTATATCGATGAGATTACAGATTACAGAGCGGATGAGAAGTATTTATACTTCTCCATGTGGGTCTGAACTTAATCTAACATGATAAAGGAAACAGCTATCGACCCCCGTGACTCCCAGTCGTAGCGGCTGATAGTCCGATTCAAGTCACATCAACGGTGTGGATAAAGTCCATAGTGGATTTGATGTTGGTTTGTTCGATAACATGTACGACACCGTACGGTGGGGAAAAATGTCAAGGAAAGTCGACACTCGAGAAATGTCAAACCTCTCCCGCCGGTAAGACTTTGTAGTGCGCGAAAGCAATGGCGCCATTTAATAGCTAGCCGCCATTCCCTGGCTCTTTCAACTTGTTCTTTTGTTCCCTTTTGCTGCCATATTGCTCGTAGTCAATGAACAACCTCATCAATACTTCTGTTAGGTATGATGAAGTCTGATGCAAAGAATTTGGCTTTCTCGAGAATAAAGGGAAGAACGAGTAGCGCGTCGGATTTTGAATTTAGAGATTATGATTTTATAATCGGTAAGAGAAAAAACTTCTTTAGGAATGATAATCGTTCAACTAATCGGGTATTTTGATCCAATTTTCATTACTCATATGTGTTATAAACGCGCTGCTACGGATCGGGAAATCGCCGGAATCGACAAAGCAAGAATACGAAAGCGAGAATCGAAAACACGACACACGATTTACGTGGTTCACTAACACGATGTGTGTTAGCTACGTCCACGGGCGAGAGAGAGCCGATTTCACTATATCAAGGAGATTACAGATTACAGAGGAGTATGAGAAGTATTTATAGTACTTCTCCATGTGGGTCTAAACCTAATCCAATCTAACAAAGGAAACGGTTACAGACCAGGCCCAGAACCCGAACCCAAATAACATTGAGCCCATACGCGAGACCCCCGATTACCAGTCGTAGCGGCTGATAATCCGATTCAAGTCATATCAACAATATGGGTAATGGGTAGCACGCAAATGGACTCATCCACATTTTTAATGGATTTGGGTTTGCGTTGAGTTTGAATTTGGTCGAATTTGGGTTCGAGTATCCGACCCAAATGTTTCCATTTGAGTCGAGATGACTGTACACACGAAATGACAATATGTCGATATTGATTATCGCACCAATAACATCTTTAATGCATGTTGGTGTCTTCACCTTTCTGTTTGTTTTATAACAAAAAAAAAATTCGGAAAAAAATCTATTAAAATCGGGTATCCATTTTCGTTTGAATGTCAAATGCTATGAGTCTAATTTAGATTCAAACTAAAAAAATGATATAAATACTCTCTAAAAGCAAAATTTCCTAAACCCGATACTAAAATGAATTTGAGCAATACCCACCCAAATATTGAATCTTTTTTTCCGCCATCTCTAACCTTATTCCTCTTATCCCATTGAAACCCATCAAACAAGAAAACAATTTGGTTTCAGCATCTGTTTTCATAATTGGGTTCCTTTGATGGAATTTGGAAGGTGGATGATATCGTCACCGAAAGGATTCCTTTGCTGATTAAGGCTACCACCAACCAAACTCTACAACCTGCTGTTTCATTGGTGCGTTTAACTTTAAACAATTAATTAAGTACTTCATTATGCGTTCCACTATAATCAAAAGCAGTAGGCTGGTGGAGTGGTGGTTGCTTCGGGGACATCCGATAAAATTAAAACGATACGGAGAAAAGTAGGCGGGCAAATGACAATATCCATTTTAGGACAAACATGGTGCTAGTTAGCAATCTGAGAGTACTTAGTACAAAGATGCTTCTCTTTTCCTCTTTCTCATCTGTATATGAGTCGTTTGTTTAAGTTATTTGGTATTAATTGAATCATTTAATATAAAATAACTCATTTATTAAAAAAAAAAAATGTGCGTGTCACTTTAACCATACGAAAATTCAAATTAAATTACTCTATCGAGTTATTTTCAAATGACTCATTATCTAAATCTTATTTTACCACCATATTCTTGCATTTTTTTTGTAAACCACTTCAATCCTTATAAATAAATATAAAAAAATTCACTCAAGACTCAACCACAAATTTATCTAGTTCAGAGAAATGGCGGGACTGCAAATTTGTTGAATATCTGACCCTAAACTAGGGATGTTGAATCTCAGTTAGATTTTGGCATTTTTCTTTGCTTTTGACTTTCTTTATACGTGCATGCTTGCTGACTTGCTGTAGATGAATCTAGAGCGTTCTGCTGGCTGCGTATATATAGACAACTAAACTTGTAAGTATGTGCTTTTCTTTCTTATCCTAATAATTAATGTGCCCATTGGCCCTTGTAAGGTCAGACTTAATTAAAAATAACAGTGTTGTAATTAATTAATTAATGACTTAATTAACAATAGTTTTGGAAAACGACAAGAAAAGCAAGAATCAAAATACTCATTTTCAATTCTCCCTAATCGTCAACGGATATCTAATTATGTAGTTATTATATGAAGTCATTGATGATTTGCTGCATCATTTCCATGTTGCTTCAATTTATAGCTAGCCATTTGGTTCACTGCAATCATCAAGTTCCCATCGCCCTATAAGAATGATTTTAGGTTTATTTTAGTATTCTCGAAGTTAAATTGGTGAGCTAGAAAACTCAAGTGATTCACAATTTTAAAGAAAAGTTATATTGGAATACCTAGTTAACTATTCTCGACTTCATAATAATATGAGATCTAGTTATGTGCATGAGAACGAGCCATTTGTTAGGTTTCAACAATTCACCAACATTGATCTTTACTTCACGTCTCACAGCCAATAAGTACTACAACTAAAGTTTTCACAAGTTCTACCTCACTCGTACACCCCATATTTATACAGGTATTACCCACCCTTCAAGCAACGTGACGCAGAACACAAGTAATTATTGTCGATGCAATCTTGTTCCGTTTCAACTCGTACTGCCTCGATTTTCTCCAATATATACATTGCATATATTTACTTTATTTTAAGTTCTTAACCACCTCTATGAAATCATGTAACTAAAGTTAGTCTGCGGGCCTCCGGTTTATCAAAATAGTTTAGGTTCATAAATCATCTCATCCTCTTTCTTAATGATTTACAAAATTACTTTTCCCTAACCAATTTCCCCAGAAGCTATAATCCATTACCCGAATTGAGATATCTATCTGTACCGCCTCATGAGTCATGAGTCATGATCATTCCTAACTACCAACATTTTTATAATTGTTGTATGATTAAAGTGAACCAAAAAGACATTTTTGATGACCTTCAATGTGCCCCGGCGAACAAAATAATTGTAACCCAACTCATCCCTCCAATTCGATTCAGTCCATCGATCGGTATTCATTCATAAAATTAATGTTTAAGGTTGAACGAGAGTTTTCTTTTCTGAAATCCGCCTCTCTTGGATTGGACCCGTGTTTTGGGTTCTGCAAATCGTAAATACCCAACCTAATCCTTTTTTGTATCTAAAACGTATTTATGTCGTGTACAAGCATATATGTGCGTGAATTATAATACTTTGTCATACTATACAAATTTGATACAGGCTATAGTTCGATTTGTGTTTTTTTTTTGTGTGTATACAATTTTAGAAGAATAAAATTTTATGAATGTGTTACCTAATAACGAGTAATGTATTTAGCTTATTTCGATAAATATTTATGAAAAATACTAGACATATGTTGAAACAAATTGCACTCTATCAACATCCAAATAACATATTCTATGCATTTTGATGTTTTTTTCGCTTTGATTTAATTGTTTGGAATTTTAATTAGTTGTATTAGATTAATATTCAGTTGAGTGTTTTATTTAAAAATATAGCCTATCCGACCCAATCTTATTATAAACAAAACGAAGAATTATACATATTTTTTTATTGAATTAGAATTTAGCAAAGTATATAGATTGAATAATTAAAACAATACATTCCTCCTAGCACCTTATATAAAAATTACCGTACGTAGGTATCATTATTCTTACTAAAAAAATTTAGTCAACCACACTATCATACAAATCCCAAATTCACAATTTGCTTTCCCAATCTGTCAAAATCTCTACCTTCTGCTCAAAAGCAGCCGACATGTCACCTCCTTCTTTCACAATGACTCGCCAGATGTTTGACCAGAACCAGAGGTTAACTCTACCTTTCCCCTGCTCTCAATTTCTCCACCTACAATCTCCTCCCCAAATGAGACAACCTCCGCCGCAATGAACCGCCGCCGCCCACCGCCGCCCCTCTTCCTCCTCCTCCTCCTCCTCCTCTCGCAGCCAACCTCTGCAATCGACTTCGTCTTCAACAGATTCAACTCCACCAACTCCTCCTCCAGCCTCTCCCTCTACGGATCCGCCGCCGTCGAATCCCGAATCCTCACTCTCACCAACTCCACCGCCTTCACCATCGGCCGCGCCCTCTACCCACAAAAAATCCGCACAAAAACGCCCAATTCCTCTCATGTCATCTCCTTCTCAACCTCCTTCATCTTCGCCATGGCGCCCTACAAAAACACCCTCCCGGGCCACGGCCTGGTGTTCCTGTTCGTCCCCTTCGCCGGAATCGCGGGGGCTTCCTCTTCTCAGAACCTGGGGTTCCTCAATCGCACCAACGACAACGACCCAAACGCCCACATCTTCGGCGTCGAGTTCGACGTCTTCTCCAACCAGGAATTCAACGACATCAACGACAACCATGTGGGGATCGATCTCAATTCGCTCACCTCCAGATTCGCTCACGAGGCAGGGTACTGGCCGGATTCCTCCGCCGCCGGTAAATTCGAGCCCCTGAAGCTGAACAGCGGCGGGAATTACCAGGTGTGGATCGATTACGCAGAGGGTTCGATGAACGTGACGATGGCGAGAGCAGGGGCGAAGCGGCCGAGGCGGCCGCTGCTGAACGTGTCGGTGGATCTGTCGGAGGTTTTCGAGGACGAGATGTATGTTGGGTTCACTGCTTCCACTGGGAGGTTGGTACAGAGCCACAAGATTTTGGGTTGGAGCTTCAGCAATTCGAATTTCTCCCTGGGGGAGAGCCTGATTACTGCTGGATTGCCGTCGTTCGTGCTTCCGTCGGATTCGATTCTGCAGTCAAAAGGGTTCATCGCCGGGGTGACGGCGGGCAGCTTGGTGTTGGTGATTTCCGGCGTTTTGGTTGCTCTGTTTCTAATCAGAAAAACAGGGGCGAAGGAAGACGAGGAAATGGAGGATTGGGAACTGGAGTACTGGCCTCACAGGATGGCTTACCAGGAAATCGCGGCGGCGACGAAAGGGTTCAGCGAGGAAAACGTGATTGGGATCGGAGGGAATGGTAAAGTCTACAAGGGGATCCTCCCCGCCGGCGGAATCGAGATCGCGGTGAAGAGGATCTCGCCGGAGAACGATGGGACAAGAGAAGTTCTCGCGGAAATCGCCACTTTAGGGAGATTGAAGCACCGGAACTTGGTGGGATTGCGTGGCTGGTGTAAACGGGAAAAGGGAAGCTTTCTTCTGGTCTACGATTACATGGAGAACGGAAGCTTGGACAAATGGATTTTCTCCGACGAGAGGGAGAAGAAGTTCCTGACGTGGGAAGACCGGATTCGGATTCTAAACGACGTCGCTTCGGGGATCCTGTACCTCCACGAAGGATGGGAATCGAAGGTGCTTCACAGAGACATCAAGGCCAGCAACGTTCTCCTCGACAGGGATATGAGCGGGCGGCTGGGGGATTTCGGGTTGGCCCGGTTGCACGAGCACGGTCAGGTAGCCCGAACTACCCGGGTGGTCGGGACGGTCGGGTACCTGGCCCCCGAGGTGGTCAGCACGGGTCGGGCATCAAGTGGAATCGACGTGTTCGGGTTGGGTATCCTGATCTTGGAGGTCGTGTCCGGGAGGAGGCCGGTCGAGGAAGGGAAGCCGATCCTGGTCGAATCCATGCTGGAGGCGATGAAGGAAGGGAAGCTGGCCGACTGTGTCGATCCGAGGGCGAGGGATCGAGGGGAGGCGGTTGAGGATCAGGAAGTGGAGCGGGTGGTCCGGCTCGGGTTGGTCTGCGCGCACCCCGACCCCAGTGCCCGACCCACGATGAGGCAAGTGGTTAAGCTGTTGAATGGGAAGAATGGTGGTATCGATGGGGACGTGGAGGAGAGTGAGGACATGGAGGCGTACTTGCTCCAACGAACGAGGACCGGGACGATGATGCCGATGAGGGATGTGTGGATGAGTCAATACTCGAGCAATTTTGGGTATGTAGGATCGCACCCGACGATGGATGATGTCAGACAGTCGCAATCGACGACATCCGGGTCATGGACCACGACGACCGTGGAGGCTAGGTGAAATCAATGGAATGGTGGGATATTCCATAATGTGTTTGAGCTTGTTGAGAAGGTCGGGAAGTTTTGTGTCTTGGGTTAGGTTAGGGTAGGGGGGAATGTGGCAGGTTTTGTGTACAAGGAGAGGGAGCTGCAGCCTGGAGTTGGAAGTTAGGTTTATTTCCTTTGATTTGGTTCATTACTTGGTGTGTGGCAGTGTGATTGATTTTTTTTGGGTCATGAGTGTACAAAGTGGATAGATGCAAGAGGTTTCTTCCTCTTGTATTTTACATGTGTATTCTTTTTTCACGTCATGAGAGTCGAGAGGATGCGGTTGGAGGCCTGTAACTTTCCCGCATCTCAGTGAATTAATATAAAACAAATGAGAAATTATTTTCATTAGGCGGGGATAGCTCAGTTGGGAGAGCGTCAGACTGAAGATCTGAAGGTCGCGTGTTCGATCCACGCTCACCGCATTTTTTTTGTCAGCTGTTCTGGGCTTTGGTTGATTTCCAAATTGGGCTTCCTGACAGACAAAGGCCCGTTTACAAATTTCTGTCTAGTTTAAGATTATGGGCTTTTGCCATTGCCCCAACTCAAGGAAATGTGGCCCACGATGATAAACTCTGGTCCCTCTCTTCTTCATGGACTATTTTAAGTCTCCTTACTCCACAAAGATGGGAGTTCAAACCTAATGCATCTTGGGGTTGGCTGGCTAAATGAAAATGGTGGGTGGTTTGTTACAAAATTAGGAATATATGATTGAGAGGCCTTTCGAGGATGTTAGGAAGAACATGCAATTGGGTAAAATTAAGAGCGATGGAGGATAATTCAGAGTTGTTACGATGCAATTATATACACGTTAATATTGATAGTAAATTGTGTGAGATAGGTAATTAACATTTTCTCAACAATTAGAGTTATGAAAATTAATTGGCTTATGACATGGTATCATAGTCTTCCGGAATTGAGATGTGCTTCTATTAATTTCAGCGGCTCTATTTTCGAACTAAACTTCAGGCTCATACGAGGAGCTTGAGTTTGAGGTTGCGTGTTAGTAAATGGTGTGAGCTATGTATTCAACAACGCGAGTTATTGAAACCAACTGGTTTTTAATCAATATATCTTTAAACCAGCAATTTTTAAGTCATATGTATCATTTGGTTTTAATTTAGGAAGGTAATCCATTCCATTTCAGACTAAGAAATACGTGGAAGAAATGATAAGAGTCTCTTTTGTTAATGGATGGCATGTGTATTCATCTGGAATTTAGATCTTCCAATAACTTGGGTTATTGGTACCAACTGATTCTTGATGTGATACTATTAAAACCTCTCAACTCGTGTTTACATGTTTCATTCCTCATGACCTTCTATATAAGCCATTAACGTATACACACGATAGATGAATTTGTGCAAACTTCAAAACCGGTCACTCATCTAGTATTGAAGCTTTTTCTAGCCTTCATAACCGACATGAGAACTGTGCTTTCTCATAACGAAGATCCATCCAGAATGTTGAATCTAATTGACAGCAGGCGACACCGGGTAAAAGAATCGATCTCTCAAATTCACAATAGACAATACAAGTCTCGGTGTAAAGTATTTGACCAGAGCAGATGTAGCTGATCAAGACGAAGCACGACTGTAGAGTTGAAGTAAGCTACTGGAAGTGAAGGTTGTGTGACACACATATTGGGCTCGAATATGATTCGCTATATGAGAAGCGTTTTAAGCATTCCCCCAAAATACGGAGTTGTTTCTTATCCGATTGATTGAATTAGTGTGGTTAGTTTTATATTCCGTTGATGTTAGTTTGCCACATGTCAAGGTGAACTTAAATTTTAGTTTTATTTTCGTTGTTGGATCCTCTATCATTGCTTACGAGTTCCAGACACTTGAAAACCTGCCACGACTAGAACGTTTTGTTTTTTCACAAGAAACTGTCAAGAACCAATTGATCCCAATAACTCGAGATGTTGGGAGAGGTTCAACAATTGATCTTATACCATATTTAACATGTCCTTTTTAAACGAAGGACTACTCATATGAGCTTGAAATTTGTACGGGCATATCAAACACTATGTGCTTACTAATTGGGGTCACTGGCATATTCGACACCATGTTGGTAATCAGTTGATTTGAATAACTCGATTATTGTGAAAAAATTTAGTAATAAATTTCATACTAAATAGAAAAGGGGACAAGTTGCATTATAGACACCAATTGTGACTGCCTAATTTGTATTTTGCTTAACAACCATCTTCTTTGATTAATACTTGACAAATTATGTCAATGTCACTAACGTGGAACTGAGTAATGATGATTGATATATAATATAATCATCAGTGTCTCGTCCTATCCCAATTCCTCAAGAAGAAAATTCCATTGAGGTTTGTTTACCCTGGGAAATGTGATTATTTTGTTAGTTACCCACGTGGAGAATGTGAATTACCAATTCGACCTGAGATTTTACTACAATATTACGAGAGCAGCCATCCATGTTGTATGTTGAACGGATATACTATTGGAGTATTGGTATACTTGATTTTTTGGATTAGGTTTTTCTTTTACTTAATGTTACATAGTTTGAACGGATATACTATAGGTTCAAAAGTGGGGGGAAAATTATTAGAGATATTTTAGACAAATGTGTCGCCCAAATAAAAGTTCGGCCGTGATTAATGGTTTTTTGATAAAATTTTAACAAAGATAATGTTTGGTAATTTTTTCAAAATACAGGAACATGTTTGATGTATAAAAAACAGAGCAACATATTTAATAAAACGACTTAGTAGAGTAACATATTATACGTTACTCATAAAATTTTCATATACAAAATATACAATTAACTAAAACCTCCCGTTTAGCACATGGTATTGACATGCCTCGACCAAACATATATATTTGAAGATCCATGTATATCGAGAAAATTTGAAGACACGATTCAACAACTTTGTATTTTTTTTTTTTTTGGTGGGGTTGCAAATTGTGAAACACAAGTTCAGTCTAACTAATTTAATCGCCCGAAACAAATCACGATTTTTTCCCCCAACGTGGCCTTCCATGTGCCGGTCGAGTTAGTTCATTACTGTTCAATTTTTCAATGTATTAATACCCAAGCTTGTTAATTACTTAGGCCAAACTTGCATAAGTTTACTAAGTGGTCAATCAATCAATTTATTAATTAAAGACTATCCTACCAGAGATGCATTATACTATCGGGGTTGTATATTCGGCATTCTCAAAGGATGTGTTTATTTTTTGTGATAGACTCGCAGTTCATATCAAGAAATCGTTTTATTTACTTAGTTATGTCGGGTTTCATTCTTTTGCTTTCGCGTTCGACCATTTTCACGAAGATTTCTCAAGCGAGAGATCCAACTTATGACTTTGAGACTTGAGAGTATTTCCATTAGTTGACATCCGGCTACTTAGTGCCATCTCTAAGAAGTTTCTTTACACATGAAATCTATATATCATCTTCTCATTTCATTAAAAATTGTTATTTCATAAATAATCCATCTTTCATTTTTGGTATTATTTATCTTTCATTAATTAGCCTCGTGTTTCGGCTGTACCGCGTTTGGCATTATTCTCATTTTTTCCTCTTACGAGGTTCGAGACTCTCCGGCATGCAGCGCTGCCGCTGAGTCAGCCCCAACGCTGAATTGACCGGAATACCCCTCGCCGTCGCCGGTCCACTTATCTCTTTGCTGTCTCTATCCGGAAGTGCCAACATATTCATCAAAACCATTGGCTGGACGCCGCGTTTTCTATCCATTTCCCCGCAAATAACGACAATAATAATAAGCAAACAAACAACAAATAGGAAACAAACATACGAACCGTTTGGTGAGGGACAATAAAGGATAAGAGTTTTCAAATCGAAATCCAACGGCTGCGATGGCACCTCGTGTCCATCCTGATGATCAGCCACACAAATACATCAGAAGTTGATCGAGATGAAGAACTTCCTGATGTATGTTACATTGGGCAGCCCCACCGCCGGGAAGCCGTCGTTCTCGATAACTCGCGTTGTCTTTATTTTCGTTCCTCTTTCGTCTTCTTCTCCCCGCCTTATCGGATACAAAATGGAGTAAGGGAAACCCACCACTTTAGGTAGTGGGAGTTTGATGTTTCATTTCACTTCCACATGATGTAACCACGTGGGATCCTCATGCATAACTCGGAGACTATCCCACCTAGAGGAATAAGACAAAGCGAAAATCGATCTGCCCGTCGGTCCAACTCAAACCGACTAGTGAATTGATATCCAATCGTTGAAATTGGGCAGTTCAGTTACTACGATATTATCCGTTTTGACCAAGTCCGAACGGATTTACTTTTTGGTATCTTCTCCAAAAGACATCGTAGTAATGAATTTGGTGGACACTTATATACGAGAGGTCCCTTCCTCTGTATTATCGATGCGGTACTTGGATTGTCGCAGGACACCAATTTTATGGTTGGGTGCGAGTTTTGACTTTTGAAAATCGAGACATTATGGTTGTGTACAGGTTTAGATGGCTACTGGCCGAGAATATCCAAACCGGCGGTACATTGAATATCGATGTTTTAGAAACGTACCTAATTGTCCTGTTGGATCGAAAGTACTGGATACTGGACTCCAAACCGATAGACAATTTTAAATGTACGAAACGATTGAACAACAATTAACGCACGATTTTAATAAAAAAATTCAATGAATATTACTTGAATGTAACACCACCGGGTAGCCGGGGGACTGGTTCGGAATTATGCCCTGTTCGACTGATTGAACTAACTGACGTGGATCCTAGCTGTTTCTCGAACCGTCCCGATTTGCCACTTCCAATCACATCTCGCCATGTCAGCATCCCCCTCGCGAACTGCATGTGCGAGGCGGACTGGTTCGGTCAATAATACCCCTACCACTGGGCCCCACCTCCACCACCCTCAACCTACTATAAAAAACCCCGCCCACATTTATTTATTTTCACCCAAAAGCGCTCTCCCACTAATCAGAGTGATTAATCGTTAATCACTTCCAATCCCCTCATTAGCAACCTTTTAATCATAACGATGCCTGGAGCAAGGATTAGAGTCCCGATTCGGCAGCACGGCTTCATGTACAACAGCAGCCTCGAATCGGCGGCGGCCCAGTCTTCGTCGGCGGGGAGCCCAGCGATCTCCGACGTGGATGATCCTCTGTTCGGGTTCCTCGACGGCGGAAATTACAACAACAGTAGTTACGAGGGATCGTCGCCGGAGAGCGGATACCGGGAGAATCACGACGAAGACGAGGCAACGACCGATCCGGCGGAAGATGAGGAAGAGATCAGGAGGTTTTGGGAGAACCAACACCAACTACTACAGGTAATTAGTTGATCGGATTAATTAATTGAAGTTAATTAATCTGGATAAGATTGGAAAGGTTAAAATGGTAATTTAATTATTTTTTTGGGGTATTGAGTTTTTATTTTTTGTTTTTATATGCAGGCGACGTTGTGTAGAACGAGCTCGCTGGAAACAGGGATTCGGAACCTGACGAAAGAAGCGGTGAAGGAAATTGAGATGGCCGGAACAATCTGCTGCTGCGGCGGCAGGGTCATGGTCGGAGGTTGCCGGAGTTGCTTGATGGCCGAGATCGCCGGCAGGCTGAGGAACGCCGGTTACAACAGCGGCATTTGCCGGACCAAATGGAGAAGCTCCCCGGATATTCCATCTGGTTAGTAACTTAATTACTAAATACTAATTATCCAAAATTTCCGTGTTTTATTATTTTTCTTGCCCAATTAAATTGCCATTTGCTTAGGACCGGGAGATCGGGTTCGAATTTTTTTTTTTTGGTTTAAACTGAAATCGAACGGATAAGACTCCTATCGGTTTCGATTTTTTATTATTCTGAATTAGTTTGTATTTTAACAATTCGGCTCAATTTACATCGAAAATCCATAAGAAATCGAACCCGGATCTTGCTCTAAACAAGCTATTTCATAAGAGGAGGATTTCCGATTTTGTGGTTTATTCCAACCGAAACCTGTTTAGTGAGTTAATCAAAAACCGATTAGCACCTTCACGAGTTCGATTTCGAATTGAGAAAACGATCTATTTCAATTTTTATTGGTTTTGGTTCGGTTAATCGACCAAACACCTCTAAATCTATAGAACTATTTATCGACTACCGCGTATTATTGCTTGGTGCCTTGTAATTATCTATCTTATCTATGGAAAAAAAAATGGCATCATTAATTTAATTACTAAATTCCTTTTTTTTTTTTTTTGACAAATTCCAACAGGAGAGCACACATTTTTGGACGTGATCGACACCACGAGCTCGAAGATAGGAGAAGTGAGGGTGATCATCGAGCTGAACTTCCGGGCCGAGTTCGAGATGGCGAAGGCGAGCGACGAGTACGGCCGGCTCGTCCGCCGGCTGCCGGAAATCTTCGTCGGGAAAATCGAGAGGCTCGCCAGCGTGATAAAGATACTGTGTACGGCGGCGAAGAAGTGCCTGAGCGAGAAGAAGATGCACATGGGTCCGTGGCGGAAGCACCGTTACATGCAGGCCAAATGGCTGGGGACTTGTCGCGACCGGAAGACGCCGTCGTCGTCGGGTAGTGATTTTGCGGCGGCGGCGGGGTGCATGGGGAGGCGGAAGGCGCGGTCGTCGATGCTGACGGTGGATTTGCTGGACATGTTGCCCAATATGCACTGCACCGCCGTGGGAGTCATGTGATTGATTTTGTCTTTTTGATCTTTAAAGCGGGTGATAATTATGGGTTTGGTTAGAGAGATGAATATATAGCGGAGTTTTCTTTGTCTTCTAGTTCAAAAGTGTTGGTGTAATATATTGTAAAAGGGTTTGAAGAATATAATGGCCTAGAATTCCAAAAGCATCGTCTTTTTTTTTTTTACAAAAATTCAAAAGCATCGTCTTCTAGCTCATTTTCCATTTTTTTTAGTGTTGAACCATAATTTGATCACAAAAATCTTCTACTAAAAGTTAAATCAGTGTATAAAATATTATACTTTTGATTTTTTTTTCGATACCATTTTAATACGACTTTACAATTCTTACTATTTTATATTCATTATTGGATCAAGCTATATGTTTGAGTGACAAAAGGGATAGATAGACTTAACATGCTATACATTTTCCTAGACCTTAAATAAAAATATAATGCTAGGGTTTGATTTGTCCTCATCGTCATAACCAGCTAGATAGTTTGCATTTTTTTCCCCCGACAAGTAATTTGCATGTTTAATATTTGACTAGTTGAACCCCTTTTTTGGGTAATTAGAGCAGGCATTAGCTGTCGTAGAGCAGGTCTTGGGGAGGACCTCAACCAACTCCTCCGCCAGCTTTTGATATTCCCTGCGAATAACCTGGCCTGGATGCACTCCTGCCGGACTTGAACCCTACTATTCAGGTCATCTACATAGACATGATAACGCTTCTTTCTCATTAAACCGGACGCGTTTAGATAAGTGTTTTTTTTTAAGACCATGTTTTCACTTTTCTTTCAACTCCGCTTGGTGATCGCTCATGGCTAAGATAGGTTGGTCCAGAGCTAGCTAGTGTTCAGAAGTCACTTAAGAGATTGAATATGGTCCTATTAAAATAGGTTGTAGCCGCAAAGAGAGAGAGATGACTACGCCTTCCCCATACAAAGAAGCGACCATTTTGGATCATTTGGGCCAGTATGTAGCGGCCCATATTAATTTGGGCTGGACTCCTCTCCAGGTTCCCCTACTGCCGAAACTTGGGCCGTCTTCCAGCAGGAATGGAGAGCGGGGTGAAACTATAACCTGAATGTTACGGCAAGCAACACCCACACCTTTTTGCTTCCTTGAGGGACTAGCGTGATTCAGAAACCGTCATGCAAAAGCAAACCGTACGTACGTAGACAACAATAAAGGTATTAATCAGATGCATGCATAGAAAGGATAGCAAAACTGTTCCGAGTAGTATTTTTTTTTTGACAATAAATCAACTTTTATTCCACCATTGAGGGAAACATGAAAAAAGCGATTACACATTTAAAGGAGATCAGAAATTAGGTCAAGAATACTAATCCAGTCGTCTGGCAGATTAGATCTAGCTTTGGATCTTGCCACCCAGTCAGCCCTAACGTTCAACGTCCTTGGAACCTCAATAACCGAAATTGAAGGGTTATTCCTAAGGATATTCATCATTGTTCTAATCCAGGCTGCACATCTCCAGGGCCATCGAGTCTGATTATGGTTCAGGGCCTTCACCAAAACTTGACAGTCCGATTGAACTGAACATACCGATCCGTATTCTTGTGCTAATTTAATACCTTCCAAAAGTGCCTTCGCTTCTGCTTCAATCGGGGTGGAACAAAGAAGAGACTCAGCTCTCCCGTCACACACTTGTCCATGGTGGTTAACAACAACAACACCATAAGCCGCCGACTGGGGGTCGCTAAAGAACGACCCATCACATTGAATCACCATAGAGTGATTACTTGGCGGTGGATTCGTAGTGGGAAGGGTTCCCCTGAGCTGAGTGGGACCATCATTCGAAAGAGTTGGGGTCCTCAGGCAAGCCATCCATTCCGTTAGCTCTCTATAGGCTTGAAGACAAACATTTGGGGGCCAGGGAACTCGATTTTTGAAAGTACTCTCGTTTCTTGCCTTCCAAATATTCCAACAAAGATAGATAATGTGAATCAGGGAGTTGTTAGGGATGTTATCTTTGAGGGAGCAGAACCAGTCAAAAAATGAGGTACCCTGAGGGGGAAATGGGATGGAGGGGAAAATAGAGTTCCATGACTCTCTGGCATGGGGGCAATAGAAGATGCAGTGGTTAAGGGACTCCACCGGGTCTTGACAGACCTGACACATCGGGTTGGGAGCACATTTCCGTTGGAACAGCCTAGCTTTCGTTGCCAACCCATTTCTGGAACATCTCCAAATGAAGAACTTTAGCTTGGGTGGAATATTCAAACCCCAGATCCATTTCCATCTCTCTTCATTTCCCGAGTAGTAGGTTGTATAAGAAAGGTAAAATTATAGGTTAATCGTGATTCAACCGTTTTATGTCGCTAAAATCATCGATTTTGTTTCTGATAGGAGATTTTATCGATCGGACTGCCTGTGTGGCGCTGTACCATATGCTTTACAAACACTAATGAATAGTAACTAGTAAGGTTTGTGCTTGCCAAAAAATTTACCCGCGAGTAATGTAACCTGTCAGTGGCCCAGTGGTACCAATATTAAACTCTAAAAAGAAATTCCCAAAATTGTAGCCAAAGAAATATTTATACATATGTTGTTTATTCATTCATTGCAAATTATAATAATGTGATCCCAAGAACATTATGAAACTTGCCATTTTATTTTATGGATTTATAAATGGTAAACGGAAAATGGCAACGATTAATAGATTTGTCACGACTGTTTCTCTGTTGATCGGGAAATTGGAGGATTCGATAATGCAAGAAAACGAAAGCACAAACACGACACATTACGCGATTTACATGGTTCACTAACACGATGTGTGTTAGCTAGTCCACGGGCGGGAGTCAGGAGATAGCCAGTTTCACTATACTTCGAGGCGATACAGATTACAAAGGAGTATGAGAAGTATTTATAGTACTTCTCCTAGGTCTCACTCTCACCCTAATCAAACCTGGTAAAGGAAAAACGGTTTACAACCAGGCCCAGATATTGAACCCAAATAACATTGAGCCCATACAGTGTAAACCGGAACTTCCAGTCGTAAAGGCTGATAGTCCGATTCAAGTCACATCAACGTGACTTTATAGTTTATACTACTACTAACCTGCCGAGTATCTAAAAGGAAAGCCGAATTCCCATAGTTCCCAAGATCCAAATATGCCGAGTATTTGCAGTTGTGTGATTTGATCCGGTCGTTGCCAACAGAACTGAGATCGTGGATATTACAGAGCGAAGAAAAAACTGCGATTTTCGGATCCAAAATTCATTAAGGTAGACGTAAGATATTCTAAATGAATTCAAAATTATGTCGAATCAAACACGTATTTTAGTTTTGTTCCGATTCCATATTTATTTTTTAAATCGATACATGTTTTTCCAATTTAATCTGATTATAAACCAAATTAACATACACGTACTTATATAACAAGAAAAATTAATTCACCGAATGTCATATTTTCGAGAGTCACCAATATCAAATTACGCGAAACTAAGTTTTAGTGGTCAAAATAATGCTCCCTCGATGAGATGAAAACTTGGAATTAGTTTTACGTCTCATTGGAGAGTTGGTCATCTTTGATTAACCTTTTTTTTAATAAGAGTGTCGTGACTGACCAAACAAATCCGAATCAGTAAATCCAAAAAATAACAGAAAACAACAAAAGGGAAAGGACGAGGGAGGAATCCTTCCACCACCAAACGGCACAAGGAAAGATCCGTCCGTGACGGGACCGTACCACTTCACCGCCGTGAACCCTCCCCGGCCGGCACTTCATATAAAACCTTCCTCTGCGCTCCGGCGCCGCCGGCTGAAATGTGGTTGTGGGAATCTAACGGTCGTACTCTGTTATTTCTACCTCCACACAAACACAAATAAAAAAATAAACAATTACAAAACGAAAATGGAAAAATTCCCCTCCTCACAAGAAGCAAAAAGACCAAAAAGGCCTCCAAGGAAAGGCCAGGGGCATCCATTTCATTTTCATTCATTCTCTTCACCTCTCTCCCACACAAAAGGGAATTGAATTATAGTATTATACAAAGAAAAACAATGTAAAGGAAAAGGAAATATCATGGAGTGAGTTTGAATGAAATGAATAATAATGTCTCTCACCCATGTTTTCATGCCTTTGTCCCACCTTTAAGGTAAAGCATTAATACCACCACACTCCTTTAGTTTATTTACTTTTTCATAATTACAAATTATAATAAGGGGAAAAAAGTGGCATGCTCATCCATTAGTCTTGATGTAATTTGGACCCAAATTACTATAATCTTGTAACAATCTATATGGATAGACATCCAAGAACGCATTACATATCAGTCACGATAATAAATATAGTATGCAACATTAATAACAAGTAAAATGCATAGATGTCTAGTGTCTCCGATGATTTGATAAAATTGCAAGAAAGTTATCATGGTAAAAATAAAGACGAGATTCAACGGAAAAAAAGAAGAAGATAAAGACGAGAACCACATCTCATATCCAACGAGAACATTTGACAAGTGGTCATTGCGCATTAATGTAGTCATAATGTGATCGACCATATTGATTAGTTAGATAAGACGACGTTTCATTAAATCTGTGTGTGGCTAGTGGGGAGAAGGGTGATCCCCCTATAATATTCACGACACGTGCATGGGCGAGATGAGAGATGTAGGCAGAACTCATTCAAACCTTCACCAACGCCTTTCATCTCCTCTAATATTATACTGGTATATTTTATCTGAACATTGAACTATACCTTGATTTGGCAACATATGGTGAAACTATCCTACAAGTTACTGGATCCGCTAAAAGCATTCATGGTATATCGACGGAGCAGAGAGCATTAAGAAACCCAAATCCAAACTTACAGAAATAAATAGACCTAGGGTTTTAAGATTTAGTTGTGACCGGTGATGCTCGACATTGATACATACGGGTGGGCATGGGCGGATGCTCCATGAGGGCAATTGGCGATGAGTGCTCAATAGTACAAGGTTGGGAAACCCTTTCATTTGAGAGTTGGTGGTTCTTCGTGATGCTTTTAAACAATGCATGTGTATTAATTCATAAGAGGTGGTGCTTGGAGGCAATAGAAAAATGTTGAACGACAAAATGACTGGTCGTAGTTGTGCGATGTGGGATGTGGTACAATATTTGAAGAGGTTCGAGATTTGTACAAGTCTCTTTCTAACTATTCGTAATTGCTAATGTTGCGTATATGATTTTCGCTTATTTGTTATTGTCATCCAACATTAGTGCAACTCTCTCTATGTTCGTTGGGTAATACAAGCTAGCTTATCTTTTTGAAAAGAAAAAAGAACAAACAAAATACCCGTTGATTGCTTTTTCAGTTGCCGTCTTAGCTCCCTTTTCACAGTTCAGTGCATGTGTTAATGGAATTAGCGGAGATACTCATGCGTCATACCCACAAAACTTTTTGGCCCAAAATTAACGAAAACCAGTATTGATTAATTCTTTTCCTACATAATATGTCAATATTGGTTATTTTAGCATATTTGTTGGAGGGGCAATTAGGAAAAAAAAATCCCCAAAATTGTGTGTATTCGTTTACTGAGAGGTGGGATCTTCCAGGCTTCTATCGCAGGAGCCAATTTGACTTTTGAGAAAGCCAAACGGAGAGAAGAGAAGAGAAGAGGATGAAAAATGGCGAGGAAAAATCAAGCTTTTGTCTTGATTGATAGGGTATTACAGAATTTTCCATCCTAATTCCGCCTCCCTTTTCCCCTTCCTTTATAATGGCCTTGGTTGAGTTTCTGGGTATTCCAGTGTAGATCGAATTCTTCAATTCCCCCAACAATGGATTCTCCCTCCAATGTTTCTCTTCATTGCTGCTAGCCCTTTCCAGCTCCCCTCTCCCTCTTTAATGGGTTGCAGAAAATTTACTCTCTTGGCTTTCCCCAACCACTTTTTCGAATCCAGCCCCTCTCCTCCTTCCGCTGCCGCCGCCGCCGTGCAGACGGCGGAGTTGTAACGAATCGGCGACTTTTGAGAGCAGGGGGAAAAAAAAAAAAGAAGCAACCACGGAAGAGAAGGCAGAAGAAGAATCGGCAATGGAGGAAACGAATTCCTCCTGGCTACGGCGGACGAAATACTCCCACACGGTGTGCCATCGCTTCGACAAGTCGCAGCTGGCGTCGTACCGTTTCGACGTCGAGCAAGAGCGGCAGCTGCGGGGGACGAGGTCGCTAAATGGGTTAGCGTCTGCCGTGGAGAAATCAATATCCGCTTTCGATCAGAAGTTAGTTTCCAAGCCCAATTGGGATTCTAATCGGCGGGGTTCTGTTTCTGGTTCTATTTCGATTTCACCCCCTTCCCCAATTTCCCCTCCGGCGTCAAATCGCCGGGTTTACTCCCAGATTCAGCGCAATCCGGTGATGAACAAGCAGAGATCTATGTCGCCGGTGCCGCAGACTTCCGTCCCGGAGTCATTCAAGGAAGCCAGGTCAGACAAGAGGCGGTATTCGACCCCTCACCCTAGGCGGAGGAAGGATCACCAGGAGAGTAAAGGAATCATGGGGAAATTGTGGCACCACAGCCACAGCCACAAGCAGCAGCAGCAGCAATCTCACGAACCTAAGGCAGTCGAATCGAAATCGGTGTTGAACAAGAGCGACAACGACAACGCTAGCCCAATTCGCCACCTGAATTCTGTCAAGGGTAAGCAATCGGCATGGACGAAGTTCTTTGACCACGCCGGAGGCAGAGTCAACGCGGTGGAAGCTGCAGATGAGTTCAGCGTCGATATGTCGAAGCTTTTCTTAGGCCTGAAATTCGCTCATGGAGCTCATAGCAGGTTGTACCATGGGTTGTACAACGACGAGCCTGTTGCAGTGAAGATTATCAGAGAACCAGATGATGACGAAAATGGAGCACTAGCAGTTCGATTGAAGAGCCAGTTTGACAGGGAGGTTACCCTCTTGTCCAGGCTCCGCCATCCTAATGTCATTAGGGTAAGTAAAGCTCTATATTCATGAAATTGGGATTCTGGGTACCATGTAATTCTGATTGATTCATTTGCCGCACTAAACAGTTTGTGGCAGCTTGCAAGAAGCCTCCAGTCTACTGTGTTATAACCGAGTATCTACCAGAGGGATCGTTGAGGGCATACTTGCACAAGCTAGAGGAGAAGTCTCTGGCTATGGAGAAGCTAATAGGTTTTGCATTGGACATAGCTCGAGGGATGGAGTACATTCACTCGCGTGGTGTAATACATCGTGATCTAAAGCCGGAGAACATTCTCATCGACGAAGATTTCCATTTGAAGATTGCTGATTTCGGTATAGCTTGTGAGGAAGCTTATTGTGATCTGCTGGTTGATGACCCTGGTACATATAGATGGATGGCGCCCGAGATGATCAAGAAGAAATCCTATGGTCGGAAGGTCGATGTTTATGGTTTTGGGTTGATGCTATGGGAAATGGTTGCGGGAACCATTCCATATGAGGAGATGAATCCCATTCAAGCTGCTTTTGCAGTGGTTAACAAGGTACGACTTTGGATTTTTGTTATGTATTTTTCATATGCTTTCTTCTCGTGTCATGTTGAATTGATGGATTGTTTGATGGAAAGATTCAAACTCTATTTTCAGGGGAGGGTTGTTTATGGGAATGACTTGACAAAAATAAATATTCGAGAAGCTTTTGTGATCATTAATGAATCACAACTTTTATGGTCCCCCTCGAATTTTCGTGAGGGATAAGAATGGGAATGAAAGTCTATATGTTGCCAGAAAAATAGCGTTTTCAATAATTTGGGCAAAACAATAGTGTCTTCGATAATTTGAACAAAATCCCTTTGTGAAATAATGTCTTGTTTTCCAGAATATGAGGCCAGTGATTCCTACAAATTGTCCTCCGGCTATGAAAGCCTTGATTGAGCAATGCTGGAGCTTGCAGCCGGAGAAGAGGCCAGAGTTTTGGCAAGTCGTGAGGGTGTTGGAGCAATTTCAGATGTCGTTTTCTCGGTATGGGAATCTGAATCTAGTTCAGAATCCAAGTTGCCCTGATCACAAGAAGGGACTTCTTCATTGGATTCAAAAGCTTGGCCCTGTGCATCCTAATAGTTCCCCCACCCCTAAACCCAAGTTCATGTGAATGGAAGAATACTTTTCTCTCTATTTAAATGTCCCAACTAGTTTTTTTGGTAGTGGGTTCCTCCTTCTGGTCACTTGTAATTAGAAAACAAAGGAGGGAAGAAGGAAAAAGAAAATGATAATTTCTCTTTTTTCCTTTTCTCTATTCCATTTGTGCAATCCACACTGATATGAGAATTTGAATGGAAAAAATAGTCTTGCTTGGGTGTATAGCTCAAAAGGTACATTCTTTGCCCGTATTTTAGATTGTTTAGTCCTGTATCTTATTAATTTATTTCTAGTTGCGAGTTCTGTTAGATTTTGTGATTATATGAGAGATTTTCTTTCATAAGCATGTGGTGATGTCCGTTGAGTCAAATCTATTACAACCACTAACTACATTGTTTTGAAGGAGTATTTTGTCTTGCTTCCTTAGAAGGTTATTGCTTGTGTTTTGTTTTTGGTTGGCTTAAGTGTCTTTGTAATGTGTTGGTAGGTTTGACACATGTTTAATAGGGGACTGTTTGGGAATTATCTGATAAAAACTTGGACAATTGCAACTATTATGTAAGTTTGTAGTGCCATGACTGATGTGGAGCATTCCTTGGACAATTACAACGTGGGTTCATTCGATGTTTCCCGAGTTTTGTTGAGCATTCCTTGGTTTTGTTTGAGAGGTAACTGTATATGACATGTGAGTGTGAGTTTCCCTTTTGCTTTAGTTTGATCCAAAATATCAAAGAGGCAAAAGTATCTTGTGGAAGAAAACAGTAATGGCTTCTACAAAAGGTTTGGTTTTTTATGTAGTAAAGAATGTGACTTTTTCTAAGAGGCAAAAGTATAGGGAAGAAGAGAGGATTAATTATTTCGATCTATGTTTGGTTTCCTTCAATATCTCATTAAAAAAAATAGAAAAAAATGTTCAATATCTGACAATTTTTAAATTCTAGTTATTAAGTTTTTTTTCATGGAAATATTATGAGGGTTGTATTTGCTCATGCAATAGGATCATGTAAATGTGTAACACAATTTGTATGATTATAGGGACTGTTGTGTTTTATGAGTTAGGAATAGGCTCATGCACTACATTATTGTCCATAGATAAATACTATTTCTGTGTGTTTGGTCGGTTTTTTAAAAACATATTATTCACTTATATTAATTAATTTAGAATTATTATTAATATAACTAGATATCTTATCACCCTAAATACTTTGCATAAGGTATCTCAATCACCACATTCACCTTTCAATTATCGTCCAACTCAAACTATTATGCACGACCAAGAATTCCGAACCTTGCACAATCCATACGTTTTTGTTGTAACCCTAAACACTTTGCATAAGAGATCTCAAACAACACATTGGACGCTAATCCGTTATCGTCAAACTTGCACTACTACACACGATCGAGAACTCCAAACCTTACAAAATCCTTATATTATTCTTGTGGTCACAAAAACATCCATGATTTGTGTAAACAATGTGGCTCTATGGAGTCTCCATGGCTGCCACACTCTAGATATAGGTTATCTATTGAAATCAGAGGTCATGAACTGGTCATTTGCAGTCACTTAATAATGTAGTTTTTTAAATGGAATTATTGAGGGAAGAGGATTAGGAACTGGTAACATTTTTTTTTTTTTGTTAGTAAACGTTATCCTGTGGGCTGTGGGATTAGGTGTCATGAGACAAATACTCCAATTATTTCAATTTTCTGTTTTGAAAAAATGATGACAACATTTGAATTAATTAGTGCTAGATGCCATGAAACTGAAACATAGCTGATAGGAGTATTTAAAGGGGGGAAATTGGTGGCCCAAACTTGTTGATGTAAAATTTTGTCTTCTTTGTCTGTTTTCTAATTAGTGATGAGGAAGAAGAGGGTGTCTAGTCGGTTGGATTGTTCTGCTTTTTTTTAATCAATGTTAAAAAAATGTTTGCACAAATATAATTTGTTGCAATTTTTTTCATAATAACATGTTACAAGGTGCTATTAGAGGAGAAATAGTAAGTGTCACCATTGGGTATCAATACAAGATCTTACAATGAGAAATGTGCCGACTCTCCAATTAGGCTGGTCATGTCCGCTTTTCGTTGTACATTTAAGTGGTGCTCTGTTGCTCCAAAGTAGGGGTGCTCTTGCGTTTGTTTTTTTTTTTTTGTTGTTGTATGGGTTGGTTGTTTTTCTTTGACAATGCAAACATTCATGTGGTGGTATCCATTTTGTCGGGTTGCTGAGAATGGCGCATTGTTTTTCGGTTTCGGAAACATTTTCCAAATCCTTTAGCGCATATAATTGCAGCAGATGATCCCAAATTTTGTCTCGCTTCACCATCATAAAATGTTGTGTGTTCGCGGGTAATAAAAAAATCGTCATTTACTTACAATTTAAAATTTACAAATCATGATGTATTTCAAAACTTATATTTTCATATTTAGGCAAACGACTGAAAATTCGGAAAGGTTGTTAGTAATTTCGCCTTTCGACTTTGGCTAGTTTTGGAAACCTAATGTGAAGCAAATTAGTGGACTCAATAAACCAATGCTTTGCAATAAAGCCCACTGTAGAGCTGGACCTTACCGCATTAGGCTGGATTTCGATGTATGCTGGTGGTAGCCCACGAAGAATCACTATCGTCAGTGGCGTTGTCCATTGGGCCTTCCTGAACAACCGATAAGATAATTGGTATCCAAAATCTTGGTTAGCCTTCTTTAAAGGATCATTTAGATGAGGGAATGCATAATCGTGAAATTTATATTAAAATCTTTTGGATAAAAAATTCGGATATCTTAATCGTGGGATTTGGCCGAAATAACTTTTTTAGGAATGGATGAAGAATTTTAATAAAAAAATTAAAATTAAAATTTTACCAATCTCTTTCGACACATATGCCATGTGTTTGTTTCTTCTTCTTCTTCCCTCTCCTTTGCGGTTTGTGTTCGATTTTCACTATCTTGAACCAAGAAACAACTACACTAAATCGGATCTGGAGGGAAGCTGGTGCAGGTATCGATCGAATTTTGGTTCCTCGGCATCGACGGCACTGTTGGCTCCTCCCGCACCAGCGCTCTGTTGCTACTGATTCAAAATATGAAACGTTAGGTATAATTTTGGGAAGTTTTCACCGACAACGTTTTCTTCTTGCTCTCCATCCCTACTGGATGTTGCTCAGCCGGTGCGTTCACAATGGAGCCATTGCCGTTAGTGGGAAGAAGGGACGCAACTCGACTTATCATCTAACAATGCCACATGTATAATTGTTTTCTTTTTCATTTTTTTAATCTATAACTATTTTATTTTTCGTCGAATAACTTTATAATCTTTCAATTGAAAAAGTGCCCGGCTAGATTTAAAATAGTTGATGAGACTCACATTAGAAACTGCTAAATTTTTTTTAGAGATGTTGAGGACTAAAAATTGCAAAGTGAAAAATTAATATAACTGATGATGTGGATGTAGAGACCATATTTAGAAACTATTAATAAGTTTTAGGGATGAAGATGGTCTTACATACGAGTACTAATACCACAATCATAATTGTCTGCTCGATAACACTTATTTAGAAATAGAAACTAATTGAAAAGGTTTACCACTTTAAAATTGTAGTTAGCTTAGACTAATTAATCGGCCTAATTGTTTTGAAAAAATCTGGAAAGGGACAAGATTCCATTTCTCACTTTAAACAACTATACCTCTTTGGTTCTTATAAGAAAAACAACTATACCTATTTGGGAAATCATTGTTGTTGGGAATTTTGGGGTTCCCTACTTGGCTTTACTTTCTATCCATGGTGCTCCCACAAAAGAGGCGTTCTACGACTTTAACTTCTTTTTTCATGTCATGGCAGATTTTATAACATGGACGTGGAGAGTTAGATTCTGGTACTGAAAAACTCTTAGTTCAAGTTCGTGGAGTGACAATTCAAAAAGTTCATGGTAATAAAATTTCAGAATGTTCATCCTATTGCGTACGGGATTGAGCTTGCATATTTCGTTATGTCGTGGATTTCTAATTTATTCGTCTTATATTGCAGTAGAATTGTTCATTTTGTGAATGACAAAACAAGCCTTATTAACAAAGGCTTGTTTACTAGTGGACTTCCACGGTTTTCCATGATCCAAAAAAAAAAGTTAAATGAGTCAACTCATTAAGGATCCAGCCGCGTTCATGAAGTTCATAACGAAGTCCCTTAGATAAAAGATAATTGAAAACCAAACTTGTCGACTCAAACTTGTGTTATGTCCAATTTTGCACTAGGCCAATTAGAAAGTCCGAGTGTAAAAAAAACCCATCTCGTCGTTAAATACATAAAACCAATGGTGACCCAAAAATCATCATGTCTTTGTAAGACATTTCTACACATCAAATTGACGATGAAATTTCGTTCCCACTTATTATGGCCTCTGCTTTTGTCTTATTAATCTCCTCCGCACATCAAAATATCATTAGATAGACCTAAAAGTATTCAAAATTAATCAAACAAGCTTTTAAACAGTTTGAATAATTGATGTGAAATGTGTTTTGTTGAATAGTCTAAATTCTAAAACAACTAATGGCTAGTAAAATGCGTCTATTTGTACTTTTCTTTTGCTTTATATCACCATCAACTCATGCAATCTTCGAAGATTACATGAAGAGGTCTCCTCTTTTTTGAGCTTGAAGATGAAGAAAAAAGGACAGGAAGGGTCTTGTTCTGTCGCTAATGATTTGTTTGTGTTTGTTCTATTAAGAGACTGCAATTAGTTTTGGAGGGTTGTTAATAAAGAGGAAATTTTTTGGTGTCTATCTTGAGACTCCTTTCAATTAATGCACGTGTGTAAGAGAGGTAGGAATAAACTACTACAACAATTTTTTGATATTGAATTCGGGTACTTTTCGATATTGAATTCGGGTCTTAAGTTGATGAACGACCAGTAATGGAATCAGAAATCTAAATGAGTTTGGTTAAAATTTACGTTTAAGGAATTTGAACTAAAAAGAGGGCTAAATCCTTCCACTTACTCTATTCTCGAAATTTGTTATAAAAATTACATGTAAATTTACATAATTTTGAGAGTTGAAAGGGCTATAGGCTATAGCTCCTCCTATCAATAACATGATCCTGCCACTATGAAAGACCGACAGAGTTGACAACATATCATCACGAGAATGAAATTTGCACAAATTGATTAGTAGTTTGGATGGACCAATCTAGAAATGAGTCAATTTGATCAATTGTCTCATTTTATAAACGAGACAATTAAAACTAGTCAATTCGAATTACCTGCCCCCACCCAGGTAATTGAAATTGACTCAAAACGTATCAATTCAAAATACCTCAGGCAGATTGATTCATCCAATCTTTTTGCTGGCAAACGAGGCAATTTGGTACAATTGTCTCAAAACGAGACAATTGTGTTAAATTGATCTGTTACAATTCCTCATCCAAACGACCCTAGAACTTATGTACATATTAATTATTAGGGTGTGCCTACGGTGACATGCATGTCACGGTGATTTGCACTTTCCGGTCGACCTCAGTTAGGATTAGGTCGACCTCATTTAGAATTCGGTCGACCTTATATAGGATCCGGTCGACCTCATTTAGGATTCGGTCGACCTCATATAGAATCAGGTCGACCTAATCTGTTGTTTCAGTGTAAAAACCGTTCATGGTGCCTACTTTGGATATTCATATCATACAATTGGCTAGATGGAAATTGAAGACTAATAACTTGTTTTGAAGCTGGAGTGTCCCTCTACATATTGAAGTGATTGAGAGCTCGATAGGAAGTCCAGAAGACCATTTTTGAACCTCATCAAAAGGCTATGCCAAAACTGGGAAACTGCCTGGAAATGGCTAAGTCTGGAAACGTGTTTGTGAAGCCTATTTTGGAGCTCAATTCGAGAAGCATGAATGCGAGTCGAGTCCAGGAGCCTCTACCACGTTAAATTAGGTATGTTTTTATACAAATTCAAGGCATTGGATGAAAGATTGGATATCTGTAAGGCTTCAAACAAAAGGGTCGAAGTTGCTACGAAGGCTGTTTTTCTGGCAGACTTCGAGCACAAGCAAGCGGCCAGAAAAACAACCTTCATAGCAACTTCGAGCCTTTTGTTTGAAGCCTTAAAGATATTCAATATTTCATCCAATGCCTTGCCTTTGTATAAAAAAATACGTAATTTAACGTGGTAGAGGCCCCTAGACTTGACTCGCATCCATGCTTCTCAAATTGAGCTCCAAAGTAGGCTTGACAAACACGTTGCCAGACTAAGTCATTTTCATGCAGTTTCCCAGTTTTGGCATAGCCTTTTGGTCAGGTTCAAAAATGGTCTTCTGGACTTTCTATTGAGCTCCCAAGTACTTTAATGTGTAGAGGGACACTCAGCTTCAAAACAAGCCTTTAATCTCCAATTTCCATCTAGCCAATTGCAAGATATGAATCTCCAAAGTAGGCACCATGAAACTGTTTTTACACTGAAACAACAGATTAGGTCGACCTGATCCTATATGAGGTCGACCGAAAAGTACATGTCACCGTAACAAAGTCCTAATTATTATATCTTCTACATCCAAAGAATTCGAATACTAAATTCTATAAGTCAAAACCTCTAATACGATCTACGAATTATCAAGGATTAACAACTATGATCATATAAATATTTCCTCTTTTGGAACCTTCAGGGTCTTACTAATCAACCCCAGTCTTATGATTTCAACCGGCATCGAAAGAATAAATTTGCCGGCATCGAAAGAATAAATTTGCTCTTCTTGCTAGTTACGATGTTGCTTTACCCAATTTGTTGTCTTTCAGTTGACCTATGATGGAAACCATGTACTCTGACATCAATAAGAACTTAGCGTATAGCAAGAGGACGAAGGAGAATTCATGAGTGCTTAAACACATATTCTATACACAATACATCATTGAGTGATCTATGCAATTAGATAGGTTTTGATGAATACTATTTTCAACTACATACAAATCGCATACACGGGATGACTACTACTTATGTCCGAGTCCGAAATCGTCGAGATCATTTGTCTTTCGAAAGCATTACCCACAACATAAACAACTATACGAACATACCCAGTAGAGGCGGAGCCACGATGATGGCACGAGAGGCTAGTTATATCCATTCTTAAACTCCCCCTCTTTGTCAATTCATATTTCCTGAGCTTATATTGTAGTCCCACTCGTTCAGATTTGTACTTTGAACTAACCTGATCGTAACGACGGAGTCGTATCAGGACCCAATGCAGAGGATAAGCCAATCCACTTCTCCAAAGAGCAATCCATCATAATCTTGATTATGTTTTTTGTGGGTAAATTACTTCACTCCTTCATATGTATGGTCAATGAACTCCCACGTCAAGCAAAGCTTTTATCAAGTTTGTGAAGGTTATAAGCTAGGCAAAATACACAAAGAGACCCCACCTCCCTTCAAATCATTCTTTATCTCAAGCAGCATCTAATCATTTAATATTGTTCCCCCCCCTCTCCCTTTTCCCTGTCCTTGTTTTCGCTTTCTTTCTTCCTTCTTCCATCCCCATGATAAAAAAGGAAACGAACCCTTCCTTCAGTTCCACCTCCTCCATCTTCTTCCAACACTCTGTTCCTGAGCCAGAGCACAGAGATCATGGAGAACAACATTAACCCAGCTGGTGCAAGTTCGTCTGCAACAAGAGCCGCCGACAGGAAAACCATCGAGAGGAACCGAAGGAACCAAATGAAAGAGCTCTACTCCCAGCTCTGCTCTCTCCTCCCGCCACGCCAAACTACTCGGGTATGCCATTTTTTTCCCCTCCTTCCATTCTTCTTTTCTCTTTGTCAGATTTTCGTCCCTTTTCTTAGGGAATGGTATATGATTCATAATTGAAACCTCTCCTACCGATTTGAATTATTGAAACTAATTGGTATGTGACATGATATCAGAGAGTTCAGTTAACCACTTGGTATCCGGACCTGTGCAAATTTCAAACATATAAGAGTGGTTTTTTTCGTTTGAGGGGACATGTTTGCAAAATGATATAGGTTCATAGTTGAACCTTTTTTTTTAACAACTCGAGTCATTGGGACTAACTGATTCTTAACATTGTGTCCTCTGGTGTTCAGTTTGTGATGATATGACTTAAAAAATGAATTATATCCGTAAAAACTGAGAAGTACTATATATGCTTTCTCAATCTTTGTCTCAATAGTGAAGTTGGTATTTTTATACACAGGCGTAGATAACACACATCGTATTAGTAAATCGCGTAAATATGTGTTGAATTTCCCGTTCCGTTTGGACATTTTCTATAACCAAAACAGGAGCCGATGTCGCTGCCGGACCAGCTCGACGAGGCGGCCAAGTACATCAAGAAGTTGCAGACGAATGTGGTGCGGATGAAGGAGAGGAAGGACAGTCTGGTCGCGAGGAATAGCGGACGCGTCCACCGGCGGAATGGCGGCGGCGGCGGTGTGAATCGGCGGCTGCCGCGGGTTGAGGTCAGGGTGCTCGGTTCGGCCCTGGAGGTGGTTTTGGTGACCGGGTCGGATTCGTCGCCGTCGGTGTTCAATGAGATGATCCGAGTGATCGAGGAGGAAGGTGGCGAGGTCGTGAATGCTAGCTTCTCTGTTGCTGAGGATTTGGTTTTCCATACCATACACTCTAAGGTATTTAAGCTCAATTTATTATCTCAAACTTTCTCAATATTTAGACAAATTCATGGGTCTACTCTGCAATTTTTGTTTGCAAAATTTATAACGAGCATCACATTCCAAAAAAGTTCGAGGTTATTTTAAATACTTCTTATTTATGAATACTCGATGAATTTACTGGAGTCGGGGATTAGAACTTGCACCATTGTCGGTTGCCTTAAAAAAAATCTCGATAACCTACATAATTATTTAAAATTGAAGCATATTATATCTTAATGATTGAAAAAAAAAAATATTAACAAGGTTGTTCAGAGAAGTTATATGATATTTACTAAAGTGGGTTTGGAATATGTTGGAAAATTTTCAATTATTTTGTGGGTTCTTAAGTAATTTCCGATGAAATTTTTGTAGGTTGGAGATGGCAATGGGGCAGGGTGTGGAGCGATAGTGGGAATGATATCTGCGAGGTTAAATAAGTTTATAGAGGAGTATGAATGATATGTAGTTCTATTTGAAAGTTGTGTTTTCTGCGGACTAGCATATATAGAGATGGCTAGCTAGCTAGAGGAGGATTCCAGCTACTCTCAATGTGTTTGGTTATCTAATTAGTGTTTAGATCATGCGTGTTATTTGAATTTCATTAAGTGGTTGGCAATTCAATATAAGTATCGGCTCTCGAAGGAAACCAATAGAAGACATGATACCAATTGAAAGTTTCTTCATTGGTATCTAGCTTAGGCTAATTCTTTTGTTATGGAAAATATCATGATGTATTGATTTCTACTTATATGCAATGTTAACTCTGGAATTTCCAATTAAAACATGTTGATTGATTGTTGATCATAATCGCTATCATCTTCAAGTCAACCCGAATTCAGAATACTCGTTCACTGAAAAATTATAAGAACAAAGAGGTGACGAAACCTAAACTTCATTAGTGTGAACATGTAATCCCTTTTCCTCATGCATGGCAACGAGTAGTGGGAAAGAGAGATCATAATACTAAGAAAGAACAACTTTTTTAAGATTCGTTAACTCGAATTAGCCCCCTTTTTCCCCTTGGAATAATGAATGATTAAGGAGACACTAACTACGCAATTAGCTAGAAGACCAACGACGTCACTTTGATGACGAAGGACCATAGATGTAATGCAAATTGCCAAATTGTAACCACGTGAAAACCGAGCCGAATTCAGCTTTTGACCGCTAATTCCGAATTGGGCCTAAAATGGGCAATTCAATCTGCTGGGCCTCTAACTCCCATATCTGGACTTTATAGACCCAAAGATTTATCCAAGTTTATTGGGTTGGAGAGCTGTGACGTTTCTGAATATTTCGGCCCAACACTGATCTGCTTACTGGAAGACAAGCTTCTATTAGGGTTTTCTATTCTCTCCAATCTTCTCCGTCGAAGTCCCCAAACCTCTCGTCCTCTTTTCCTTCAGCTAGGGTTTTCGATTCCTCCGGCGAATCCTCAGTGTTCACTACTCAGATCGGAGAAAATGGCCTTCGAAGTCGGCGCCGTCCCGTTTAATCCCGACGGCTGGGGTCCACCCGACGCCACCACGGCCACCACCAAATCCTCGTCTCTCCCGCTCAACGTCCCCTTCGCTCCCTTCTCTCGTGCCGAGAAGCTCGGCCGAATCGCCGACTGGACTCGCAACAATCCGAACGCTGGAAGGCCTAACGCCGGGAAGAACGCATCCGATTCGGTATTCGACTTCACCGCCGACGATTCCTTCCCCTCCTCCGGCGGAGGAGGAGATGAGGACTTCCGCCTCGTCGACGGGAAGCTTCCTACTCGGCCGAAATTCGGCCCCAAGTGGCGGTTCAACCAGCACAGGCCGCAGCTCCCTCAGCGTCGCGACGAGGAGGTCGAGGCGAAGAAGCGGGAGGCAGAGAAGGAGAGGGCAAGGCGGGACAGGCTGTACAATCTCAACCGGTCGAACCAGAACCAGCAGCGTCGAGAGGCGGCGGCGTTCAAGTCGTCGGTGGATATTCAGCCAGAGTGGAACATGTTGGATCAGATCCCCTTCTCGACTTTCTCCAAGCTGTCGTTCGCCGCTCCCGAGCCGGAAGATCTGCTCCTCTGCGGTGGATTGGAGTTCTATGATCGGACCTACGACAGAGTCACGCCCAAGAACGAGCGCCGGCTGGAGAGGTTCAAGAATCGAAATTTCTTCAAGGTTACCACCACCGATGATCCGGTGATTCGTAGGCTGGCAAATGAGGACAAAGCTACCGTCTTTGCGACTGATACTATTCTGGCCACTCTGATGTGTGCTCCAAGGTCAGTTTATTCCTGGGATATTGTGGTTCAGCGAGTTGGGAACAAGCTCTTCTTTGACAAGCGCGATGGTTCCCAGCTCGATTTGCTTGCGGTCCACGAGACCTCACAGGAGCCTTTGCCCGAGGCGAAGGACGATATAAACTCTGCTTATTCGTTGAGTGTTGAAGCTGCTTACATTAACCAGAATTTCTCCCAGCAAGTGCTGGTTAGGGATGGGAATAAGGTTGCTTTTGATGAACCGAACCCTTTTGCCAGTGAGGGTGAGGAAGTTGCCTCTGTGGGCTATAGGTATAGGAGGTGGAAGCTTGATAACGAAATGTACCTGGTTGCTCGTTGTGAGGTGCAGAGTGTCGCTGAAGTTAATAACCAGAGGTCGTTCATGACCCTGAATGCACTTAACGAGTTTGACCCAAAGTATTCGGGTCTTGACTGGAGGCAGAAGCTGGAGACTCAAAGAGGTGCAGTTTTGGCTACTGAGCTTAAGAATAACGCTAACAAGTTGGCCAAGTGGACTGCACAGGCACTGTTAGGTAGTGCCGATATGATGAAATTGGGATATGTTTCTAGAGTTCATCCAAGGGACCATTTCAACCATGTGATTCTGGCTGTTGTTGGTTACAAGCCCAGAGATTTTGCTGCACAGATTAATCTGAACACTTCGAACATGTGGGGTATTGTGAAGAGTATTGTGGACTTGTGTATGAAGCTGAATGAGGGTAAGTATGTGCTGGTGAAAGATCCTTCTAAACCTCAAGTGAGAATCTACGAGGTTCCTGTGGATGCGTTCGAGAATGATTATGTTGAGGAGCCGTTGCCCGAGGATGAGCAGGTCCAGCCACCTGCTGAGGGTGTGGAGAATGGCGAGGCAAATGGTATTGTCGATGATTTAGAAGATAAGAAAATTGAAGCTACTGTAGCTTAAGGTAATGTTCTTCCTTAGCTTGTTAAGCAGTTGTTCATTTTCCTACCAGTTTATGAACCCATCTGAATGTAGTAACGTCAGAGCTACATACAATGAATGGTCATTTAGAGTGATATTTGAACCGTACAAGATCAACTAGTTAGAGAAAAATGATTGCGGAATATAAAGGCATGGTCTTTTCTCCTCCACGATCATGTTGGAACTAGATCCACCAGGTTGCTTTATAGACCAGTGCTATTTCCCTAACCTAGATAGGAAGTAGAACAGTCTTTTCTTGCCGTGTTTGTCCCACCAGATGGGACTACATAGATGTGCAGTTTGCTGGTGATTGAATCTAGCAGCCGCTCTGTTGTCATTCCTGTGTGATTTGGCATTGAGCTTTGTTTGAATCGAACTCGGATCTTTACTCGCGAATATTGTCTGTTGCAGAGGTGGATGACTCGATGTTACCTGTGAACTAAACACCGACGCATCCAGTTCCTGCTAGCTTGTGGACGGATTGTGGACGAGCATTCTTTCCAGCGACACCTCTTTTTATATTTTTTGCCTTTTAGTTGTGACGATTTGCTAGAAGGTTTACTGTTTTAGTGTACTCAACGGGAAAATAACAAATATATTGAGACTTCGATTAACAAACTGGTTTTATTGAGGGCCGAGGCATTTCACCTTGAATATTCTGAAATGGTATGTTAAGATAAATGGCCGAAGAGATGGATCTTTCTTGTGTTTGCACCTATGCAATTTCAGCTTGACCCGTTTCACCTGTTTTGGTGCATGGTGAGAATGAGTATTTCTACCTGATTCACCCTTATTATTGAGCTGTTTTGTCTAAACTATATGTGATTTTAGTTAAATTATTTGCTATTGTACTTTCTATACATAATATTTTAGTTATGATAAATTTGTAAATAGGTGGGAACGTCGATTTTGTGAATAATCTAACTACGACTACCTTACCATAGATTGCTTTTTTGATTTTCTTTTAATGAAGTGGTAGTATATTTCGGATGTTATGAATTGGGCTTCGTTTGTTGGACTTGGACCAACAAACCATTGTTTCCCATAAATGATTTTACCAGCTGGAGATGGGCTATTTCGAGGTGGATGTCAATGCTACTAGTAGGCATTTTGTAGGCTCTCTAAATTATGGAATGAGCCCAAAAATTTCTTGTACCGAAAAGTTAGTGATAGTGCATTTTGTACTGAAATCGTAGTAAATATCGTTTATTGATTTAAACTACAAAAAGAGATTTCTTCGGTCAGACTACCAATACGATACAATTTCACAACCACAGTTTTACCGTTGATTATAGGAAGAAGAAAAAAAGTGAGCAGGGAAACTGAAAAATGATAATGAAGGTGGGGAAGTGGGTTCTTGAAATGGTCCTTAAAAAAGAATCAGCTCAGAGTGGCAGATGGTGATGGTTATTAACTCCTTTGTCTCTCTGTTAGTACACTATTCTTCCACTATTTTCCTTCTTCGAAACCCTACAATTGTGTGCTTGAAAGATAGCTCCAAAAATAACCTCTCTCTCTCTGAAAACTACACCTCCAAAACCAAACACAACAACAGCAAGCTGGGAAAACATCCCCACACATGTCAGTGTCTTTTGGCATTGCATGTGCAAAACGATCCCATGAAATTTCTAATCAAATTTCGAGTCGCCAATAATTTGAGTTAAAGGAATTAGTCGTTGTTGGTACAAATTGTGGAAATAATTGAAAATAGGATCCATTTTTTTGGGTCATCGTTCACCAATTTCCCTCCAAAATAAAGACGTACCAAATGTGCTAATTCTGTGTATTTTAAGCCCCTTGTACTTAGTGCTTGTCACTTGACTTATCTCTATTTCTTTCTTCAAATTTATTAAAAATAGTAACATTCATCACATGCTAATTAGCTTTATTTTAGTCCACTCATATATGCTAAAAGAAAATTACTATATTGATTGAAACGGTAAAATAACCATGCGACCACACTGGTCAGTTGGTTGCCTTGTGTTGCCAAACGGTTCGGGATTCAACAAGCTATCTTCGTTTTCTTATCATGCCAAATAGGTAGATTGCTTTAATTCACAAAAGAAACAAACTCGTCATACCAGATCGCCGATCGCTCCATCAATCTTCAAATATCAAAGCCACATCGAATTTGACATGATTGAAACTTTGATGTATTGGTACCATTTACCCCATCATTTCCTAAGGTTTGGTTTGTGATAATGTGAGACATCAAAGTTGTAACAAGTTAGTTAAAACTATAGCCTTTTTTTATTATTATTGACTGGTGTTGAAGAAGTGTTTCAAAAGTGGAGGAGTCAAACCAAAACACATCTATAGCAACACTTACCAAATTGAACCCACCAAAATGGAAGTGGTGCTTTGTCTAACCCAATTTCCAAGCCCTTTGCTAATTAAAGAAAGCTAATCAATTGAGTAATTAATTAATATTATCCCTAAACTTGCTTTGCTTCCGATCCAATGAAAGTCATGGCTTCCTTATATACTAGACGTGCCTTCAAGGGAACCCTCTTTCTCAACAATATGTGTAATATAATATAAGCCCGATTTAGGATGGCTACGCCATATGGCGCAAGTTTCTGGACGACGATATGTGATGTTAATGGAACTCTCTTATTTATGTGTGAAGATAGTTGTTAGTTTTGGACTTTGAAGTTTGGAAACTTGGAATTGTTTTCTGTTTGCAGTTTACTGTCTGTTGGGGTTAGTGAGAAAAGAGCATATGATAGTGATGCTAATGGCAAGGTTATAATGTAATTTGCTGTTACTATATGTATACATTCATTTCGGGTACTCCCCGAGTTGTTGAGAGCGTTTCATCGACAAACTTAACAACATTCATCATTTTGCATCTCTTTCTCAGATCACACTCAACACATCGACTCTAAGTTTGTGCCGAGCCATTTTGGGTTGAGGTGTTTACAAATCAACTATTGATATTGGAGGGTTATGTGAAGGTTCGAACGAGTAAAATTGCTCGGCCCCGAGGCCCCTGATGTCATGTTGAGAACTAACATTACTATCCGCCCGCTAAAAGAGAACCCTGAAGTCATGTTAGTAACACGCTAACGAATAGTGGGTCTGATGTGCTAACGACAACAAATTTTTACAGAACTTTCAAATGCACTAGAAATCTTACAAATTGCATAGTTTGTAACATGGGTTGTTTTGGTAAATGGTTCTCCTTTCCACTTTCGAGAAGCTGGGGAAGATGAGAGGGCATTTGATATAATCCCCGCAACTTGTGTATGAATTAATTCCCAATCTTTGTTCTGTGGTGTTCAGTGATGGAAACTGGAATGGATGGAAATGGGGAGCAAGCAAAGCAAAGGGTCAATTACGTGACAGTGAGAGGCCCAAAAATTTCGTAAACGTGCTGCTCAGATTTCACATCCATAGCTTTCTGGTTCATAAATGGAGTACAGGCAGCGGCTAGCAATGAGAGCAATAATAAGCCATTGCCTAGTTGCTTTATTGTCTTCACTTAAGGCACGCTTTGAACCCTAGATCGCGAGGAGAAGAGCAACAGACCAACACTCGCACCACTTGCGGTAGCCCTAGTTCCCTCTCGGGGTTTATTTGAAGAAGATCGATACATGAAGTTTTATTAGGGGACGATCTGATTATTTAGTTTGAGTGTGAACGAGAGCAGATCAATGGAAATAGTCTTCGATTTGATCTAAGGTTTGATATCAATTGCATGTATGAAACGAAAAGGATCAGGTGAATCGGAGGTCGAGAGAAATAACGGAGTTTATAAAATGAAGTAATTTATTAATCAAAACTCATGTGGGAATCATCGAGTTTTGAATGCATGAAATAATGAAGCCGATACTTTTATATTTGTAGGGTAATATAGAAGGAGAAAATAATTCATGGGGAGGGAAAGCTCTTGTACTTTGTTTTCTTTGGAGCAGAAGTGGTGAACTTGGGGAGGAAAAAAAAGAGAGGGAGTTGTGTGGTCCTTTCGACAGAAGCAGCTGGCTTTTGAATTACAGGACTGGTACAGTTTCCTTCTTTCAATTCTTTGTTTGTATTCTCTACTTCCTTTTCTCAGCTATGGAAAAATGGAAATGGAGGGGAATTGGATTCACCTCTCATTTTCACCCTTTTCCCCATTTCTGGGTCTGACCCTGAGCCAGCCTGACCACACTCACATGCCAAGAACACATAGGTGGGAGAATGATAACATCAGTTACTAGTGGGTAAATGAGTAAGAAAAGGATGTTTTTTTTGGTATGGAATGGATTTGTTAACAACCACCCCACCCCACCCCACGTACCGGACTCGGGTTTTAATTCGATTAAGAGTTAATGGTCGTCTATTCCTATCATTGAAATAGAATGGACATTTAAAAAGATCTTTTAATAACACTTCGATTCGTACACTTTCAACTCGTAATAGAGAGAATTTGGGAACCTAAAACAATTGGGATTTGAAGTTGCGAACCTGAAATCGAGTTTGGGAGATGCTTGTCTTACATACAATTACGATTTTGAATTTATACTCTTGCATAACGACATCATTTTCACGTGAATCTGCACGATGGGTACTTTGTGAACTATCGATTGAGTAAACTTCTTATATTGTATGTACTCTTTCATAAATTTTAAAAACCGTTGTAATCAGGTGTCAAATATTATCAAATAGGCCGATCAGATACTCGAAATGTAAGTGTTCGACCGAGCCGGTCCAATACCAATGATTTTCAGATTCATCCGTCATCACCAATTCCAAGGAAACCCACCTTCCAAGCAGCTGACTTTCCTTGACTTCACAGTGTACTTTGATTCTACAAACAAACAAAAAACAAGAAGCACACACACATCGGCACATCATACTCATATAAATTTTAAAAAAAAATGTTATCATCATCCAATCCAAAGCCATTAATCTCTCCAACTAAGGACACAACTTGTTTTTTTGTTTTGTTTTTTTGTTTTTTCTTTTTCCCCTCTAGAGATTAATGGTAGCAGGCAAATTGGTAACTTCCTTAAGAGTTCATTATTATGAGAAGTAAAATTAGGGGAAGTATGGGGTACTTTTAAGTATTGTAAGCTTAAGGACGAACAAATAGGTTAGTATTACCATTAATTGTACTTATGCATTGTGTTTAGACTTTAGAGGGCGGTGGGCAAGGAAAAGTGGGGGGAGTTTATTATTAGACCTCGGAAGCATCTAATGCTAAAAAGTAAAAACCCCATCCCATCATACTTAAAGCAGAAAAAAAATGATTTTATTTTAATTGGTGATTAGATTAGTGGGATGTGTGGATTAGGAACTAATCTTAATCTTCATCTTAGTCTTTGAAATTAGCTTAGTCAAAATATTTCTTTTATTAATATGAAGAAATTCCACGAACCTCCAATCCTTTCTCACCACTTGGAAGTTCGCCTCATGCGGCTCTCCCCCACTCTCACTTCTTCAGCGAGTCCATTTTACTTACCCACCAATTTGCTTTTGCTAACTAAGCCACATGAGTAGAGGTAGATTGTTACTTTAGGTCACCAGTGTTTCGGCATTTAGGATGACGGTTTATTATACTCGATTTAAGATACTAATCTAATTTCGTATTGGCGTGATGAGTAAGTACGAGATATATAGTGTAGTGCGGTCACACGTTAGTCACATTATAGAGGGTCAAATGTTTGGTACCGTTTTTACCTGAACGGGCTAAAAGGGGATCTTAGCATTTTCCAATTTTTGAATTTTAAATGTGGTAACTTACTTAGGAGTATAATTCAATGCATAAGATTCAACAATTGTATTTGTTAAAGCATGAGTAATACATTGCCCAACATTTACGCATATAGCTTGACCTAAATTCAAATTCACGACAGTTCGGTTATGTTGTTTTGGATGTTGTATGAGAAAACATATACACTGTTAGTTGCCACTTGCCAATATGCAAATGGAAAATTTTGATCGTAATATTAAGAGCAATTTTTTGTTGTTGTTCAGACCAGTTAAAACGGTGCTAATTATGAATTAGGAAATAAAATCTTGAAAATTTTACATTAATGTTTTAACCAATCATATCTTATCCATTAGAAAATTGTTAGATTCTTTTTTATCTCCATAAAAATATCAATCACAAAACAGGTAATAAAATGCGTATAGACATTATTATTCCGACATTATCCGTCAAATAAAAAACCCATCTATCCCAACATTTCAAAGCAAATTAACGTTCCTACGAGATTTGGCGCAAAAAAAATTACTCAACATTCCAATTCAAACTTCATCGATATGTTTTATGTACATTTGCCTAAATTATAGTTTGACTGCAATTCGATCTAATCGACCGGAATGTTGTTCGGAAAAACATAAATAACATTAGTTCCTCAAGTAAAGGGTAAAAAAAAAAATTGGTGCTTTCAAAATTAGGAAAGAAGACTGAGCAATAATATATTTTCCTCAAAAGTAATTTCATAGTTATCCCAAAGACACGATTATCCCATTTAATATCTTCCCAAACAAAAACAAAATCATTGGTAAGATAATAATAACCGACTAATCCTCATTATTTTCATAATTAAGATTTAGCCAACTTTGTTCAACAACTAATGACTAATTAATAAATTAAATCCCTACTCGTAGTCAATATTCTTGTCTCTCCTAGCCGGCCTTTTACTGCCTCTGCCGTTACCGTTTTCTTTTTCTTTGACTTGACTTTCCAATTTCCATCGTCCCCGTTTCCCGTCCAGTTACGCGCGTGCTTCACAAGCCCACACCAGTGCGCGTGCCGGTTGAAGAAGAAGAAAAAAAACGAGGGAGAGAGGAGAGAGAGAAAGTCTAAAGTCCCAGCATCAAAACATTTCTTACCAAACCGTAGAAAGAGAAAGCGAGACTCTTTTCCTTCTTCTTCTTCTTCTTCTTCTTCTTCTTCTTCACCTCTCCGTTTCTTCCCCTTTCCTTCTCAATAATAAAACCCCTTCTCCCCCTTCATTCTCAGTCTGTTTTCCTTTTCCTGAGAAACAAACAACGAACCCACCACTCAGAAGAAGGAAAAGGGTGCAAGAAATTCCGATTCAATTTTGGATTTCAGAATCAGGGTGGGAGCAACAAGCTATGGAGAAATCATCGCCGAGATTTCACCCAGACCACCGGAATTACGCCCAGTCGCCGCAGTCCCTCCTTCCTTCTCCCAACAGTAGCAGTAGTAGCAACAGCAGCAGCCCTTCCCCAAATGGCCTCCGGGCGGCTGCTCAACCGCCGCCTCCGCCGCAGCAGCAGATGCCGTCTCCGCGGCCAATCCCCAGATCCGAATCGGCCAACCCGTACCCGACGACCTTCGTCCAGGCCGACACCTCTTCTTTCAAGCAGGTCGTCCAAATGCTGACCGGATCTCCGAAATCGGCAGCCGCGGCGGCCGCCCCGCCCCAGCAACCCGACCACCAGGTGAAATCCCATTCACACTCCATCCCGCCGATCAAATCGATCCCCAAGAGGAACCAGTCGTCGTCCGGGTTCAAGCTCTACGAGCGCCGGAACTCGCTGAAGAATCTCCGGATCAACCCGCTCAACCCGTTCCTCGCCCCGCCCGGACCCGGATCCGGATTCTCGCCCCGCAAGCCCGAGATCCTCTCCCCCAGCATCCTCGACTTCCCGGCGCTCGTGCTCAGCCCGGTCACCCCCTTGATACCCGACCCGTTCGACCGATCCGGACTCGCCGGAGGCTGCTACGCCAGCAGCCCGATGAGCGCGAATCATCATCATTATAATCGCAACAGCAACGGCGGGGCTAACAATCCGGCCGGTGCCGGCATGATGGAGGCCGACTCGGAGGAGAAGGCGATTAAGGAGAAAGGATTCTACCTGCACCCGTCGCCGGCGACGACGCCGAGGGAGGCGGAGCCGCCGCGGTTGTTGCCGCTTTTCCCGGTGACGTCGCCCCGAGTCTCTTCTTCGACAGGGTCAGCTACCCCTTCGTCATGAAATAATCAAAAGGGGGGGTCAAACAAAGATATCAATTTAAATATTCAGAATTTTTGCTTCTTTTCTTTTTGGAATCTCAATTTTTCTCCATTGTTGCCTCCCATCCAGTTCTTGAACTCTGTAAGATTTTTGAAAGTATATGTTCGGTGGGGGATGATGATAATGATGATGGATTCTAGCTGAAAATGAGAAATGAGAGGATCTTTGCTTCCAATTGTATAATTTTCGGGTACCTCTTTGTTATTTCCCTTCACTCCTGTTAACTCTGCTTCCTGTTTGGTGATTGGTGAAGCAGCCAAGAATAGTCAAAATGTTGACTTTAGGAATCTAATTTCTGAATTTTCATGTTATTATTTATTTTTATCATTTGTGGGGGGGTTAAATTTGGTGGGGGTTGGGGAAATTAAATTTTACCATAATAAGTTTGCATTGCATGGAAGGAAATCATTGACTCTGTGGGGTAAATGACAATAAATGTGAATTTTCTTTTTGTGAAGGACTGAAACGGGATTCAATAGTTCTGCGGGGGCAATTAATAGATTTGCACGGTTAGAAAAGGAAGGGCATATGGTTGGATTTTTTTTATTTTATATCCCAACGAACTTCAGTCCCACGTGCTGCTTGAGCGAGAGTGGGGCCTACTAAACTACTGGGGGTATCTGCATACTAATCGGGGCTTTCTGCTACCAACATCGGGGAGGCTTCGCCTCCTATATCATGGTTGGATTTAACAATGGGGGGATAGCAGTAAGAAAAGAAGAAATCTTTCGCTTTTTAATTTTTATGGCTAGACTTGCAGCAGATATAGAATGTGTGTTTAAGCTCACTCATTTTGAAGAATTATACTAGCGAGGTAAGTGGCAAACACATGAGATCATACGATTTGGACTTATAATTCTGTCGGTGGATGTCAAGAGATTCTTATCGAATTGATAAGCTGTGAAAATTGGAAAGTACTCGTTACTTTATTGTGTCACTTCTTAAGAAGTGTTTTCTAATATTAACTTGATGTAATTTGTTACTAATTTGATTCCTATTATCTATTGTTCTAATGAAATTCTTTTAAACGTTCCACTACATATTGTATATTATGCAAATTAATGAATTTGTTGGGTATTCATGTGATGGAAGGGGAAATAAAGAAATGGAAAGCTAGTTGTCAAAAACTAGAAAAGAAAGCAAAGGGTTGTGGGGGGAGGTTGAATAGAGTAGAAATTAGATAGGTGGGATGGGCAAGGAATCTAGCTTGACCTTCTTGCTGTCTGTTTGTGTAGTTAACTAGTTATATATTTATATTTTTTTTTCTTCTCTTCTCTTGTGTGTTTGAGTGGAGCAAGAAGATGCCAATGGAAGAAGGGCAGCAGAGCAATTTTCTTGCACTTCTATTTAAAGTTTGTTTATGTACCAAATGTCAATATTTTACTTCTATAGTATGGTTTCCTTTCCCACTACATTTTAATAATGATATAACACAGACAGAAATGTGGTTTGGTCTTCAGCATGAATGATGATGATGGAGTTTGATGTTGGACTTTTTGGTGCTTACCCTCTTATTATTTTTCTTATATTATGTACGTCAATTCCTTTTTGGGTTTGAGTTGGAGAGGTTGAATAGAGTTGTGTGCATGATTGGAGTCTAAACAACACATTCTGCGTTGATCGATCAATATATGAACAATAGAATTGTACAAACAACGTGAATGTATTGTGATTATTTTTTTTTCTCTCTCACACATCTATTGAATGTCCAAATCGATCGTGCGATCACGAATCTTACCTGTTCATTTGGAAGGATGGTCAAATTTTCAGAATGTTATTTACTAGGTTGGATTTGGATTGAGATAGGTGGGAGATGGGCGATAATAATTATTGTTGTTATATTTTTCACTTGTGACTTTGGCATTTGGTCCCCCCACCAAATTAGAAAATTGGTAAAAGACAGTGACGAGGGAAAGAGAGAAAGCAACAAGAAGATTCAAGAGTTGGATGATGGCAAATATTGTTTGGAAGAAGGAATTAAAAAAAAATAATTGGGTTGAGCTCAGTGGGCAGTGTGTGTGAGCTTTGATGATGAGTGATGACCAGACAGGTAGATTTTTCTGCGGCCCGCTTTGTGTTATTTTTTCGATCTTGTCCGGTAGGGGGACAGGTTACGGTGATTACTAAGGGTAAATTGGGTATGGAAAAATAAATTATATTAATTAATTTTTTAATAAATTACATTTAAGGTAGTTACAAAAATCTATTCATTAAAAATCTCTCTTTCTCTCACTTCCATAATCTCCAGCCAGATTTTCTTTCCATATTTTTCTCAATCTTTCTGGAAAAAAAAAAAACGAAATCAGTACCAATCCATTAGACAAACACTACCACTTTGAAAAATATCAATACCATTGCAGAAATAAATCTATACCATTATACGAAAACTACCATTGCAGAAATAAATTTATACCATTACACGAAAACTACCATTCAAGAAATAAAAACACTACCATTTCACAAAACATCAATACCATTCAAGAAATAAAAACACTACCATTTCACAAAACATCAATACCATTGCAGATTTAATCACTACCAATGCGACAAAATCAATACCAATGTAACAAAATCAATACCAATGCGATAAAATCAATACCAATGCGACAAAAATAATACCAATGCGACAAAAACTATACCAATACGACAATAACACTACCACTACGAAAAAAAATGACTACCATTTAAAAAGAATCACTACTGAAAAAAATGACTACCATTTAGAAAAAAAAACATACCATTCCGATGGAGGCAGGGGTCGGCAGAGGGAGGCGGACGGCGGGAGGGTGAGGGAGGTAGAGGGAGGCGGACGGCCGGGGGGGGGGGGGGGTGAGGGTGAGGGCGGCGGGAGGTGGGAGGGGTGGAGAGGGTAGAGGTAGGGTTGGAAAAGGTAGGTTATAAATATAGGTAATAATCTGGTGTGATAATATTTTGATTCCCAAACTATCCTTAATTTAATCTTGACCGTCATTTTAAAAAAAGGAAAAAATAGAGCTAATGAAGGGTTTAGATATAAGTAGCCACAATGGTTACTAAAAAACTAGTATCCACCCTAACGCATTCCGTCCGGTAGGGTAAAATTCGAACTCGAAATATTTTAGTGGGTACGGATAGAACCCGAACCTAAATATTGTGGATAATGGGTGGGCATGGTTTTCTCACTATCCAATCCGAACCCGCCCAATATACACATGCATATGTATTTTGTCTATAAATAATTATTATTTTTCTCTAAATTATTTTATATTTAGCATATAAATATAACATTTTCATGAGATTGTGTTGTTTTAATGAATTTTCTTCATTCTAGTGAATTATTGTCATACTTTTCATCTTACGTAATGTGAGAATACATGTGAATATTGACATATTGGTTGGAGTTATAAATAAAAACTATTACCCATGGATACCCGAAAACCGAACGGATATGGGCATGGTTTTGATTTTCTACCCGTTTCTTATTTGTGTATGGATATAGGTAAAACCCGAACTAATTTGGGTAGAGTAACGAATATGAACTATCCGTCTACGACCGACCCGTTGCCATCCTAATAGACTTGATGGCCGATAGGCAAACTTTAAAAATCACAATACTAAAAGGTAAAAAAAGGAAAATAGTAGTGGTACTATTTCAAGATTCAAGTGTAATAGTTTCAAATTTTGTCATGTAGTAGAAAACTTTGAGAAGAGCTAGTGGGCGGGGAAGTACTTTGCAATTTGTTCGTTCGGTTGAAACTTGAAAGCAATCATGAGTTGGTTTCACTTGGATCCAACACCAGCAAGCAGCAGCAACAACGACAACAAGTCAACAAAGCATTCTTCTACTGCTTTGATCTCAAGCCTCTTTTCTTGACCATAAGTCCATAACCCACTTGTTCTTTTGCTAGCTAGTAAAATAGGAAGCATGAGAAAGTGAAGTGAAAGTGGTGGTAGGGGAAATTGGGTCTCGTGAAATCATCAATCCTTCTATTATATTGTTAAAAAAGTTAATAGCATTTTATATCCTTTTACTGTTACAAGTTAACAAATGTATTCCTCTACTATTATTTTGCACAAATATACCCTTCAATTATTGTAACGTAACAAATATAACCGTCCATCCCTATTTCAAGCCAATAATCAATAAAATACTTGTAAAATGACTGAATTGCCCTTTTATTGGGATATATTATACAACCGATTTACATAGAAAGAGAAATAAATAAACAAATAAATTTAATTTACTAATTTCATTATCCTCCCTCCCCATCGGGGAATGTACCCCCAACCTTCCACCGAAAGCGAAGCCCTTCCACAGGAGGGGGAGACTCCTCTTCGATTGTTCATGGTTGGTTTGTTTGTTTGGTTCTCGCTAGCCAGCTGCGAGAGAATAACCGTTATGAATAAAATACTTGAGGATGACGAGGTCAACTCTCATACGTTACTAAAAAAAATCGTGTTGGATTGAGCTATACATGTTTTATTCACGTTGAATGGTTGAGATTTGAAATCGATAATCGAAATACATACACGAAAGTGAGAAGAAACACAAATTGCTAGGATTTTTGGCGAAGTATTCGTTTTCTGGTTTTCCATTTATATACACAACACTCTGTACACCAAGAAGAAAGACCTAACGGCTAATGCACAGTAATTAACTAACAACTGAAATGAACCAATCCTAGTGTGCCAAGTGTGCACGATACAATGCTCTAATTACTGCAGTAAACGAATTAAGATGGACGGCACCGTTTTGCACATCTCCCTCTTATATCAAAGGAACGACTTGCGTTCTAACCCAGACTAGTCTTCGTTGCTAGGATAGAACGTCGTCGTTTCTCCTGGTGATATAATCCTCAGTTGCAGGCTTTGTTTGTTGATAGCAGCAGCTTCATTTCATTTCTTTCACTTCAATCCTCAGCTGCTGCCATCTTGGTTCATTCCTCTATTAGAAAGTATTGAGCAAGTTGAGATGTAAAATT